ACGAGTGTTTGCTTGGATGAGGCGGGAGGGGCGGGGGGGGCGGCAGATGAGTCCGCGAACTGCATGGCTTACCTGTTCATCTGTCGGGGCAGTAAAATGTCCACAATTGCGGGGGAGTTAGTCGCAGTCAAACGCTGACCTTCCCATAGTACATACTATTTTTCGAGCTGCCGATGCGGGTTTGGCGAAAGAGGGCAAGCTGCGCACCGCTGGTAGGATGAGGCGCCCCATCTTGTGAACCATTCTCCGGAACAGCATTCGAACTGCAGCAGCATGGGGCGAGGGTGGAACGGTACTTTGGCTAGGCTTGGCTATGTCATACTTTTTCATGTGCCACCTGCCGGATATCTTCGCGTATCGTAGCGGCAAGATTCACAAGGAGTGTGGTAATTGCGCGAGGCCACGTGGCGTTTTACAAGGAGAATACATAGCTGTTCACCCCGGCCGGCATCGTGGCGCTGTGCGGATCGAGTAGAGGTGCTGTTCGAGGCTTCTAAGACAAATCATGAATAAGCCGTTGTGTCTCGAGCCCTGGGGTTGCCACGTTCGACTGGGAGTGGGACGGGTCCGGTGATGTTCCGGTGGGTATGGTGGGCATGGAAGGGGTTGAAGTGTTGCTCGAACTGATGTGCTGCTACCGCAACTGATGAGATGGCACCTTATGCCGTCTATCCTTCCAGACAGTAGTTGGAAGGTGTGGACGTGTGATCAATGGTCGACGGCGTTGCGGGCTCTTCTGGCTGGTCAAGGATTGAAACCGGAGGAGTACGCGCCGCATTCTGGGAAGATAGGGGGAACGACTAGGGGGCGATGGGGTTGTCGTGGTGATCGATCCAACAGCAAGGGAGGTGACGTCATACACATTCCTCTCGTCCATGAGGGCCAATTTGGACGATGCCGAGACGGCGTCCATTGCGTTATAGCATCGGACGCTTCAGGGGCGGGGCTCCAGCTGGGGCAAAAGACGCGGTGAAAGGTGCAGGCACGGGTCAGAGGTAGATTACCGGAATCTAGAAAAATTACCTGGATATTCGTACTTAGTTTGCATACATGGATTCAAAAACAATATATTTGTTTCATTTTGTTTTTGGGTGGTATGCTGTGTTTAGGTGTTGGCGGGGGGGTAAGGTAGGGGCGGGGGTGGGGGTGTACGGTGAAGGGAAAGAATTGGGGGAGAAACGCAGACGCATGGGAGATGGGGAAGAGTGCAGGTTGTTAATGTGGGGTAGCAAACTAATGTATGTGGTGTGTATTACGAGGAACCCGGGGAATATATTGATATTTGTGTGATAAAGTCGTGGGGGTCCACGATACATGCAAAATACTCCAGATTCATGAGCATACGAAATGGCCATAGATCAGGGAGGAATTTCGAAAAGTAAAAGTTACCGCGGAATCACCGAAAAGTTAGGACTCACAGATGAGCATTGGTGCAGCTTTCGGACGTTCATGCCTTCGACAAAAATACCGCACACATACAATAATATTATATTACCTGACCAAGAATTCGTACTTCCGTAGTAGGCACGAGCAAGCACCACGTGACGAGTTTGTAGTCCTGCCGCCATGCTCGCAGCCTCAGATTATTATTGACAAAGAAAGAGGTCGCGAGAAATTGAGCTACTAGTCTGATGGACCATAAGAACACATGTTACGCTCATGAAATTCAGTCATCTACGTTGTAGTAATTTTTGGTGGAATGTTTTATGGAGCTTTCATGGAATTCCATGGACTTCCATGGAGCATTCCATGGAAATTCCACGGAAGTCCATGGAATTCCATGAAATTTTTCATGGAAGTTCATGGATTTCCATGACAGCATGTCCGTGGAAGTCCGTGGAAGTCCACGAAGTGCCCACTGCACCGTAGGCACTGCAAACCTAGAACTCGCAACGGCAGATCAACCTAGAACTTGATCATCGGCACATCAACCTAGAACTTAGCCACCAGCAGCGCCAACCTAGCCCGTATCGTGTGGGCTTGGGGATAGCGTTAGGGTTAGGTCAGGGATGATAGCCATTGCAATGCCCGTTCCAAAGCAGATAATCTACTTGTTAAGGAGTGCACTGGTTCCGGTTGAAGGGCACCCATTGGCCGCCCATGGGCTGCCCATGGGCTTGCCCGTGGGCATTTCCCGTCATTGGCAACCCATTGGCATAAGGTGGTGCCCATGGGCGGTTTAGCGAAACGTATACTGTAGAAAGTGTGTGGGAGACCCCGTGTTGATGGACTGAACGTCCATGAAAGTTCATGAAATGGACGTCCATGAAAAAATTGATGATTTTCATAGAATTCATGGACCTCCATGGACGTGAAACATTTTCATCAATGAATATTCATGGGCGTTCATGGAACATTTCATGGGCGTTCACGGGTGTTCATGAATACATGTCATGAATGTCCATGAAATATTTTCATCAAACGTTTCACGACAAAATTTTAAATTTTTTCATGGAATGTTTCATGAAAAAATGTCATGGGCATCCATGGAACTTTTCATAAACATTCGTGAAAAAAAATCATGGAATTCCATGGGAGTTTCATGGACTTCCCTGCGACGTATCACGGACTACACCTTAGAACCGTTCCATGAACTTCCATGGACTTCCCAAACGTTTCATGGAAAAGTACGGGAAAATGTGCATGTCATCTCTATGTGCGTTAACTGTTCCCCAGGTACCTGGTTCCCTCGTAGGACACACACAACAAACCTACATGTTCAGTAGTAAAAAAAACAAACACAAGCATACACCAGAGCAGCCAGCCTACAGCGAAGTAGAATAATATTGCTCCTGCTCGAGAGGAGAGCATGAAGAACGACATCTAGTTAAAACCCGTAAGTGGGTACAGTAGTTCTTGCTGTGATGCGGGTGCTGTATTGTGCTCACCTCATCATGAACGGGTGCTTTCATTGCGGCACCGGACGCAGTGAAACTATCTCAAGTTAGACGTTACAAATATGAACCGGCAATAGAGCGAACCAGAACCAAAGAGGTCTTGCGCTGCAGCTGGGGGTGGCGCGTAGTGACGGGTACTCCTGATGATGGTGCAGCTGTGTAACATCAAGTACCAATGATGCTTGCAGGGTGAGCGTGTTGTGCAGGCTATTCTAATCAGTATCATGATTCATGTGAGTAGGTCTATTCGGTTTAATTTCGGAAGAGTTGATGAATTGATACAGTTTACAATCAATGTCATACTCATCACAATAAAATTCGGCCGATCAGAATCAACCAATCAAACACCAACCCAATAGTGCACTACTAGAGGGGCGACAAGGGCAAACAAAAGCAGACAGGCAGTCACGCGACGTTTCAGCTACACTTCCCACCTCTCTTAGTTTCGGAGCAGCCGGCGTGTCGGACCAAGCCGCTGCATGATGTACGCAGGCATCTCCGATAATAACTTGCAGGACGGGCGAAGATGCTGTGTGGAGACGTGCTGTGTGCTCCTCTCTGCTGAACGAGTGAACTGACCCCAAGGCACTCCCAGGTGTGTACACATTGGCATAATGATTCGGGCCCCCTGCATATCGACCATCCGTCAACACTGGCCAATGCTCGCCTGCCGAAGTGCGCCGGTGCCATACACCCCATTCGAGGCGCTACCACCCTGCGCGCGCCGCGCCAACGAGCATCCAACAAGGACACAGCGAGTAAAATGTTGACCGCATGCCGCAAGCCATCATCCATCATCACACCATCCTTGTGCACGCTTTGTGCACGCTGGCCGAACTCCATGGCTGCTTGGACGACGTGTACCGCGCCCAACCCCGTTCACCTCACATGCTGTACAGTGTACAGGCTCGACGCACCACTGAGCAGCGGTGTGGAAGATACGCATCATATCGTGTTCATGCCATGTATGTGTCTGTCATGAGTAGTGACAGGCCGGTACCGTTCGGGGAAATATACGTTTTGAGTGGGAGTTCGTACAATATCTTCAGTTCTGTGTAGCGGACGTGACAACATAGTTCATACAATACCTCCTGTTCTTTGCAGCGGACGTACCTATTGTTCGACATATGCGAAAGCTCCCGTACAATAGTCACATCCCCTCCGACTGCAGTTGTGGTAATATCTCGAACATGTAGCCGTTCTGTGTATCCTGAAGTCTAGATTACATATCGATAGCTCTACACGTCGATCGCCGGAACACAATTATTACTTGACCATGATTTTTCAGGTCGAGTCAAGGTGGAATATTATTTGAATTTCTTCTCGTGGGATTTCTACTCGGGTATTATTGTAGACACCTTTCGGTGCAGTTCAGGACGGGAATTCTAGACGCACCACAGCCGGGGTCACAAGGGAGTGCTTTCTCCGTCCTCCTTCTGCAGTGTTTGTTTGGATTTTATCGTGAGAAGGATTCAGCCGTTCCTTTCCCTCGTCGACCATAGAGTCGAATTAATGCGTTCGCACGAAATTTTCGCGTTGACTTTGTTTTGGCCATCGTGAAACAACATCCCAGCTCGTTGGCTACATCGATATGCAAACCCAAGTCCAAAACGCCGAAAAGACTGAGAGGTCACCTACTGAATCACTTTTCGCCTTTTGTTTGGTTGACGGAGTTAGACCTTGGGAAAGCAAGATACACGGGGGCTTCCTGGTTCGTTTGCGGTAGTCTATAGTCTAGAGGAAAGTTCACCCACTTCCATGCTACCTCAAAATTTATTTCACTCAATGAACATGAAGTACAATAGTTCACATCCTCCCCACCACCTCACTCGCCATCGCATCTCCACGTGCACCCGATATGTTTACGCGTATGAAGTTTCGCCGCAGTCGATGGTACTCTCGGGTGTAGACTACTATTTGTGATCTCGTGCGCAGCGGTATGCTTTTCGTAAGGTATGTACTCACATGTACTGTAGGTCCCCATTTCGGATATCCATTCTCTCCCTGAATGTTTCTACCCGTGGACCCGTTCAGATTGAACAGGGCAGCACCGCAGTCCATCCACCAGCAACCGCACGGATCCCTACGACTCTTCGTGACAACATGGCGACAGAAGAGTGGTATTGGCAGGTGAGATGCCCGAGGCATGTATGTAGAGAGATTGATGTCGGGATTCGGTGTTTCGCCCATTCTTCTAAGTGGCCTTCTTTGGGAGACTCTGATTCTTCCTACACAGAAACCAAAGTATTTTCATTGGTCAGCATGTCAGCGCGGTCGATGCTATCGAGAAATCACGCACACAGACCAGATCATGGGCTTGAAATGCATTTTCTCCGTTCAGTCTCAGTAAGACCGACGGTACCGAGTGCAGTTTCTTCGTTTGCTATCGTTTTGGTCTTTCACCAGGAGAGTAGCTCATAGCTTCCCCCTCTCGGGGTCTCAGATCATGGCCTTATACAAACATTTTTCTGTGTTCAGCCCCACGGAGACTGAGACGTCTTTTGATTATCTGTCAACCGGTTACAGTAGCGCGGCCGATGTGCATATTATATACGGTATTGCCGCTCACGAATTTCCTATGAGCTCGAGGTCTATATCAGTTACACCAAACACGATTGGTTAGGAGGCTCGTCAGTGGCGAGAATTCGTTGGTATTTTCAACAGTGACGGGGAATGGGTGGATATTATTGCGATGGTGACGGAGGGGGGAATGCGGGAGGGATACATAATTCGAATACGTATGGCGACGAAGAGCAGGGAAATAGTTCTGGCGACAAGGATGTGATGATCACACGACAGAGAGTAGAGACACATAGACAAACTGAAGAAGGAGGAGATGGTGTTGAAACTTTGACATCCAATCTTCCACAAGCAACGTCGTAGGGACCGAGAAGCGCCCATTGGAACAGAATTAGCAACGAGTACAGTGTGGATGATACAACCAGCCACAGTATCAGAATAGGATTCAAAACGAAACAGGAGCATAACCAAGAAACCTCGGTAGACGCTTCAAAATTCTCTTCATCTGCTACCGTTTCTGTCTTCAATCTGGAAGTCAACCTCCCCAACTGCGACCTCGAAAGGGGGCCCAGATCATGATCTTACTTTCCGTTCTTAGCCTTATCGACGGTTTCTCATTGGTCAGTCGGTGGGCGCGGTCGATGCCACATGACAACTGTCGTGCTGGGGACGAAAGCCCACCGAAAATCGCACAACTAACCCATGCAAATAGAGGACGTCGCAGCCGGGCAATATCTTTTGAGGTCTCCCTCAACTTTGGCAACAATCTAGTAGCGAGAGCGACCATACCTCATGCTAGCATCAGGATCGCCTCAAGATGAATTCAGGGACGCGTGAGGGGTCGAGCTTCCCTAACTTCTCGGCAACGGATTGAGGTTCCAGTTTATCCTAGGGTACAGCTTTGCACAACCTTCCTCCTCGTCCCGGAACTCTCACTGGTCGTGCACAACGAAAGATCTTGAGCCCTGTGAAATAGAAACAACCACCTCACTATTGACGCATATCGATTGCCAGCTACGCTACACCTCTGTCGTGAATCACGGCAGCAGAAGTACTGCGGCAGCAAAGCAGACGTCCCGTCACCCATTCGCTTGCGCCGATCTCCACTTTGAGCCTTTCCACCATCGCCTTTCATCTGGTGTCTCGTTTGGTTCCCCCTCCACTGCTGCAATTGTGTATGCTTCGCGTGCGATTCTCAGGCCGGGACTGCCGAGACCGACTACTTGAACGCGGTGCTGATGGGGTCGGATGGTTCCTCTGTCTTGGCAGGTAAGAGCGTGGCTTCACCGCGTACGGTTGCATATCCCCGACATGTTGGCCTGATTTTCAAATACTATTCCGCCCTGGTTGTTGTAAGACGAGAAGCCTCTAACGACTCGAAACCACACACAAAGACGGGAAGCAACAACAAATGTTGGGGGTTTTGTCCGTGGACAGGTCTATCGTTTGGACTATGGAATGGAACGAACGCCGACACATCCGACGCATCCTTAAGGCCGGCCGCCACAAAACTGGATGCAGACGGGAATATCCTATGGAAGTGGCAGGTAAGCGAGTCGAGAGGTCCAACTCCCGGGATGCCATGAACGTGGGAAGCACGTTTACTCCATTAGGCTAAAATACTCCTCGCATGGAGGTACTGATGTGTGAAACTTCATGTGGGTAAAAGGGGGAAGTACATTTTCTTACGTCTACTTACGAACAGGCTCGATCGATGCCCTGTGGAGAACAGTCGCGAAGGGCGGGGACGATGCTAAGGCTCTCGGTCGTATCGCATGAATGACTTTGCTTCGCCGCGCTGGACCTCGATAGGCAAGGTCTCCGGAGCTTTCGGAAGCGCAGCACCGCCCCCTGCCCCCTGTATTTCTACGTTCCCTTCCCTCTGTCCATAGTTATACTACCATGCAGCGGTGCGAGAGGTGACGTTCATAGTGAAAGGGCGCCAGTAGGTCAAGCCGTTGCTAGAAGCTTGGTGATGGGACATTTATACATATACCATATAGACTAGGTTTTCAGCACCTTGCCCCCAAACGTTGCTGAAGTTGATAGTTGTAGATACACCTAGGAGCTCTCCGTCGGGTTAAGGACGCTGTTCACGCCCTGGGGCACTTCAACAAGCAGCAAGGGAAACATCAATGTTTCACCGTCTCAACACGGTTCAATGTGGCACATCCGCCGTCCGTGTCCGTGTCTAAGATTTCCATTTCAATCCATGTTCCGCTGCATGCACGATGACCACGTGGCCCGCATCTTCAACAATTGAACAGAATGTGACGGGGACCTCAGGCTTCCAAGCCGCAGCCATGGACCAGGGTGGATCCGTCGTGTTGGCATCGCATGATGATATAACCAAGCTTGATGCAGACGGGAACTTGCTCTGGGTTGTTGAGGTGATCGAAGTTCTTCGGCGAAAATGTCTTCGTCGGGCACTCGTACAGAACAGTTGTGGCTGGGGCGATGGGTAGCCTGAAGGGCCTCGCGCTGTACTCTAAATTCCGAGTGGAACGCATGTTATCGCACAACAGACATCGTTCATGACTGTGCCAAACTGAACGCAACTCGGCCTCATATTGATTTGGTTGATTCGGTCGAACTTGTGTGGTCCGGTTCGGTACCCTCTGTGAGACGGGACACCCGTCGTATCAGTAGCCAGACCTGAACGGCTCTGAAGCTTGAAGAATGCAATAGTCGTACGAAGCAACGTAAGCAGCGCCGCAAGGAGGAAGAACGCTCCGACGCCCAACGGAGGGCGGGTGCCTCGACCACGGTAGTGGATGAGCAAATGTAACGGGTCCCGGGAGATGCAAGCAATGTTCCTATCAGATGTTCAACGATCGCCCCATCAGCTCGTAGGCGTGTGAGCATTCTATATTGGGAAAGCGTCACGCTAGAGGCTCAGAGCCCAGATATTGGCAAGATTCATACTTGCACCATGCGCCAGACATCAGATCAAGCGTTGTTTGTGCAGTTTTTCAGCGCTGGCACCATTGTGTGTTGACATGTTTGGCAACCAACCGAACAAACATGCTGCTCATACGGTTCCTGTGAGGGAACGTTCAGCTCTGCCCTCACTGATTGTAGTCCAAAGGTACATCGCACGAGCCGGACACATGCAGTATTCCGCGTACATACCTGAACAGTGCCTGACGTCATCAATGCTGCATTATTTGCTTGACAGCACGACATCAACGCCTTTGCAGCTGCCGCGGGTGAAGGTCGTTCAGTCGTCACGGCAGGATTTGCGTCTGGCGGTTGGGAAGGAACGGGCCTGGGGTTCGTGGACTTCACAGCTGTCAGCCTAGACGCGGATAGTGGCGAGTTGTTGTGGAAGTGGCAGGTAACTGGCTTCTGAGATGGTTGCGAGAGGATTTGACCGTGTTTTTTATGTTGCATAGCAGCGTTTATGCTGCCTGGTATCGTGCGGCAACGGGCGGCAATCTTGACTATTTGCATCGTCATGAAGCACCCACCGCCACCTGTTGTCGGACGTCGCGGTGATATACTGCCCCGGTTGGCATCAATTCCGTGCCTCACGAAAGAGAAGGTCTCTGTGACAACTACAAACCTGAAAAAAAAACAATAATTACATTATAACGTTCACATGCCGTGTTCAACCATGTGAGGTTCCACGCGATGCTACGAGTCCGTGCCATCTTCTAACGGATTCTCATACGGTGCGGCCACACCCTACATTACCGTCGTCGTGAACATGCTGTTAGGACGACCCTCGTCGCGCACTTCAGGGGGGCATCATAACATACCTAGATATTTCGGCAGCTTACGCAGTCATTTGTTGCCTACGCAGTCATTGTAGTCGTCCCGTAATGAGCTATGGCCGGAGACGAAATTCGCGGGACGGGTGCTAGTTTATCTTTGGATACCAGCGACTGACCACCGTGCACGTGGCCAACGTGCTCGCTCTCATCCCTCTACTATGGATGGGGTGCCTCCTCCCGCAGGATGGATCAGAAGGTTTTGACGTTATTTACGGCGCCACATTGGCAGACGAGGGCGAGTCGGTTGTTATGGCAGGATATACCTCTGGAAACTTCAGTGGAGTGAATGCCGGCAGTAACGATTTTGTTGCCATCAAGCTCAACTTTACTGACGGCAGCGAAGTTTGGAGGTGGCAGGTGAGGGGTTTTCGACAGGTTCCCGGTGGCTGGTTACCTGGTTGGGGTATCCCATGATAACGTTTTCGGTAATCGTTCGGGGAAGTATCGTGAGAGGGCGGGTTGTTGCACACTGCATGCGGTCGTTTCGCAGTATGACTTCGATACCTATCTTGTTAGGAATCGATGTATGTAGCTTCGATTTCGTCGACCCGTGCGTTGCTGAACAACACTACACCACAGTAAAGCTGTGGGCAGGCCCCTCTTGCATTGCATTGATTAGAATTTGAGGAACATGTAGTGTGTGGTGACCAGCGACGTGGTACGTGGCTTTCACCTTCTTTGCGATGGGTCATGCGTTTCTCGGTATCGTGCATAGCAAGTAGGACGGGTAGGGTTAGGTTGCCGTAACTCTTGTCTTCTTTGGTGGGCTTCTTAGCGAGTATTGCCTTCCTTCCTTACAAACCATGCAACGACTTGCCCATTCGTGAACAGTCAGTTGAGTCCTCTTCACGACCTTCGCTATACAGTAGTATGCGACAAGCCGTATGCTGTCATCATGCAGAAATGCTTTTTGCGGCCTCAATCGTGGTAGCAAGCAACAGAAACCCCGATGTCGGAATCTCTCGGAGTCTTATCACCCCTGTGCGATAGCGACGACCCCCATGCGTGGCCCACGTGTCAAACATTCATGGAATACTGGGATACCTTCGCTGATTGTCGCGTACCCGTGTGCAACTGACCGCGCGACAACCCTCAGTTCGACGGCACTTGCTGTTCTTTGTCTGATGGCATACCCAAGGTATACTGTTCGGCAGTTTGATGTTTGGAGGTATCAAGGTATAGCCTGCCATAGACAAAGTGGTCGTTGATGCCCTTGGTTTCTGTCTTTTCAAGCAGGATGGTACAGATGAATGGGACCAAATCGGCGCCGTCGCGGAGACAGCAGATGGGACGGGCTTTGTACTGGTGGGGTCCACACAAGGAGACTGGGACGGGGACAACGCAGGCAATGGAGACTTCGCTGTGGTTATGTTGGATGTCGACGGCAACGAATCTTGGAGGTGGCAGGTGCGGTGAGGTGTCAAAGCTTGCAGCTGCCGGGAAGGTTTGTTGCGAGCGTTTATTGTTACTGAACAGCATCCCTGTAGTGGTGCCGCATCCGTATAGCCATGTACATTAATAGCTGGTTTTCTCCGAACAAGATAATGAACAGAACTTGTCGTTCCTCGCATTCTCCGCTCCCGGCTATTACCAGGATGGCACCACCGAACAAGAATGGCTAGTCGGTGTTGCTGTGCAAGACGACGGGAGTATCCTCCTCGCCGGTCAACAGATGGAAACGACTGGGGATGAGAGCGTCTTTTTCACGGCATTGAAGCTTCAAGCGGATGGGGAGGAAGTAACCTGGCGTTGGCAGGTAAAACACGAACGGTTGCCGTCAGGAAACAACGAAAGATGCAAAATATTTTAGCATGTTGGGAATGGTAGGGTTTTGCGTGTGTTTCTTTCGCCGATGTCCTTTTACCAAAAGAAAGTTCGTACGGAGTGATTCTCGTGGGCGCATAGATGTTTCCGCTCATGGAGGGCATGGCAGCTCTGCCAATATTTTTCATTTTTCTGGGGAGAGAAAAGCAGAGGTATGTTTCGAACTCGCGGAACGCCGTGTGCACACGATTTTCGCCACAAGTGGACCGTTTCTTACGCGTTTGCCGTGACCATGTCTTTCTACACCAGTCAGAAATGCTCGGGGACTGCACCACAGGAACCAATAACAACAGCAGACCAACAGGAACATTGAGAAAGAACATAAGATGCACCATAGAGACATTTACAAAGACAGAGAGAGTAGCAGCAGTGCATGACGACCATATTCTCGGGCTTCGTCACCCCTTTCTGTGTGTTTTCTTGTCCGTTCAACGTGCCTAGGCCGCTGCAGACCCTCTTGATTGTACGTTTGTCTGTTGGTGGATGACACTATGGGTCGCACTGCTCGCATGCAGGGCACCGTACAGAGCCCTCAAAAATTCAAGTCAATAAGCAACTTCCAAGTTGAACTGCAGCTGTGGCGTCCAGCGATTTTTTTCGATGGATGTTGTCAGCTCACCCACAGCGATGTAAGGATGCCCTTTAGCTTATCGTGGTATACCCGTTTCGCCGTCTGCGGTTGACAGGGGGGTAATGCAGGGGACGCCAGTAGACTGTACGATATGGCGGCGGGCGCTGACGGAAAGATGATTCTGGCTGGGTACACGGACGGGTCGTGGGAAGACGGCGCCAACCTGGGAGCAGATGATTTTTTGGCCGTTATGCTCAACACTATCGCAACTACACCCGCACCATCATCACCCGGCGGTGACACGGTAGGCGGCCCTACAGCCGCCCCATCTACCCCCGCCGCGGCCACACCTGCAACATCATCACCCGGCGGTGACGCGATAGGCGGCCCTACGGGCGCGCCATCTCTCCCCGCCACAACAACACCAGGTACATCATCAGCCAGTGATTCTCCGACAGGCGGCCTCACAGCCGCACCTCTTAGCGATGGATCGGCCTCTAGCACTGCACCGATCATAGCGGGGGCGCTTTCCACCGCTGCTTTCGTGGCACTCTCCGCTGTCGGTTTTCTGCTGAGAAGGCGCAGAGCGGCGAAAAAGAACGGGGCAGACGGGGAAGACCCGCATGTTCTGCCTCTCGATGGGCTTGAAGACGGCCGGCAGCACGAAGTGAGCTTGAGCAAATCAGCTGTCATCGACGGAGGCGGCAACCCGACCCTGCACCAAGAAAACCATTCTCCGCCCGCCAACCATGTTAAGTCGGTGGAGGCTGCGGCTAGCGGAGGAGGCGCCGCTGCAACGTTAAACACCTCGCAGCCGATTGATGCCGGCAAGGTTGCTGGTGTTGCACTAGCAGACGGTTCTGCCGAAGACTACTTGGCAAAGCAGCACTTCGTTGTGGCTACGACTTCCACGGCGGACGCCTCCACGCTCGATCGGGCCGCAGTAGCCGGCATCTTCGGTGAAGAAGCCGAGTTTTGGGCCGACGGACCAAAGCCAGCTTCTTCTGCAGCCGGTCGCCGTGGATCATGTAGCGATGTCGGAGTTGGACGCGCCGTGATGAATGCGGCGCAGGAGCTAGCGCAACGCTGCCAGATTCCCGGCGTTAGCGAGGCGGCAGCCATGGTGTCCATTCTCGTCAATCTTGTGACAGATAGCCGCGACAGCAACAACAAGGGCGACGCTACGCTCAAGCAATGCCGCTCGGTTGTCATGGCGCTCGAACGGGCCGCGACGGTGGCTGGTGAGGTGAGCACGCGATATGGGAGCCTCCCCTTGTCTTTTTCGTTGGCGGTGTTACACGTTATGGCGGGCTTGCGACAATGTCGATTCGAAGCACCTTGCCCTTGGAAAACATATTCCGTACATGGTAAGAGACACAGAAAGGGAGCGAGATGGAAACAAACCTAGTGAGACAGAAGAGGGTCCCGCGAAACCGATAAGAATTTTGGCAAATTATTATTATTCCGGGACAGATGTTTTTGAGTTTAATTACGCGGGCGAAGCCCGTTAATACATATGTGAAACTCATTTATCTGCGGGGCGCACGCTTTTAAAAATACTGCACCCCTCTCTCTGAATCAACGAAGGAGAGGAGATCTGACATCAGGAGTAGAGGTGCCGTCACCGCGGCAGCAAAGAAATCACCGTGCAGCTTTGCTGCCATATGGGATGTTGATGAATGCTTTGGGGCGTGCGTTCAATTCAAAGAACCCCAGATGACGTCAAGAGAGCGAAGAAAGTAGGCAAGTAACCCGTAGTAGATATAGATAGATGCAGCGATGCCAGAGCATCACAATCATCACGGTACTTAAAGCGGTAATGCTAATTACGACACCGGTGTCATAAAAAAATATTTTACGACACCGCTCAAAATGCTTCGACCCTATATTCTCTGTTTTCCTGCGGCTCTGAGCGGTCGCGCGAGCCTTCGTTCGTCCCATAGTGACCAGTGGTTGCCGAGATATGACCCAAAACGATGTCACGGTACCACCTGCTCGGTGTCGTAAATACGCACTGCGCGAAACTTTCCGAAAACACCTCCAACAAGGATGAAACGACCTTTGCTGTGTTCCAAGGGCCCCCAGCTGTCACACAAGCCGTCAATTGGCCAAAACCAACCCGTGGTTCCCGAGATACGCCCAAGAATGTGGCCACAGCACCACCTCGCTCGCCGGTGCCGTAAATACGACACTGCGCGAAACATTCCAAGAAACTAATTTCGCTGTGGTCCCACGCCCACCAGCTGTAGCGCAAGTCGTTATTCAGCCGAAACCAACATGAGATACGCCCCAAGAGTGTGGCAACAGCACCACCTCGCCCGCAGGTGTCGTAAATACGACACCGCGCGAAAAGTTCCGATAACAAATCCTATGGGCACAATACCATTTTTGCTGTGGTCCCACGCCCACCAGCTGTCGCGTAAGTCATTATTCGGCCGAAACCAACATGGGGCTCCCGAGATACATGTGGTTGCCGCCAACATGTAGTCCTACATTGTGCCTTTCGCTCGTTGGCTAACGGCCGGTCATGTTCAGGTAGGTGTTCTTGCTCCTGCTAAGTCGACGTTTGTTTGCACCGTTAATGTGTCGCACCCCACACGCATACCTGACTGTTCGGGCGGTGCAAGTTCCCTTTCAAAAGGCTCGCAGTCTGAAACGGGGAGAAACGTTTTGCTACTTGTTGATGATGTACGGTGAAGTTGCGAAGCACGTATTGCGTTCGGATGTTGAAGACGTCACCACAGAGACGCGTTGTCGACGGAACATCGCCTATCGAATATAGTACCGGGCGTAAGACGAACAATCACGTTGAAAATTGGAGCAGTCGACGAGCACACCCTCGCACACGAACGCGCCAATAGAAAAATGTAGGATATTCGATGTAACCGCACCGTGCCGTATTCAATGCGCAAAAGATTGAAGCTGCCTCCCCTTCCGCTGTAGGAACGACGCCAAAGTCAACCATGCATTCGGCATCGTTCTTTTTCCCGTCCTTCGATGTCCACCTTCGGCCGAATCCTCCATCCTAGACGATCTCCGGCCTTGTCCTTTAGCCCCCGCTGGTTGGCGGGTGTCGCAGTACAGCCGATGTGCGATCGCTCCTCTTCTCGCTTGACATCAAGACGTCTTCCTCGCGGGTCGAAACGTTTCGGCTTCTCTTTGTTGGGGGCCAGTGCTGGATTCGCGGTCCTCTGCCCACCGAGCAGGTACTGGTCGTATGCCCCGTCTTCGGGTCTGTATATCCAGGGCTTGGTCAGTCGAAACTGAACGCAAGATTTCGTCCACGTTCTCCTTGCTCTTGGCTGTCATCGTGGCGAAGACTCGGCGATGATTGAATGCCTTGGGCGTTCTGCCACACCTTCTGCACGTGCTGCGGGGTGCACGGTCTCGTTGTCGAAGTCGTCGCTGAAATTAAGTTCGCAGTTGTGATCGTCATCGCCGCTACTCCTATTCTTTTGCCCGAGTAGGCATCACTGCCGTCATCCTCCTGGTCATCGCCGCTACTCCTACCCTTGCCCGAGTAGGCATCACTGTCGGGATCCTCCTGGCCGTCGCTGCTACTCCTATTCTTGTCGGAATAGTCGTCACTTGTCGTCATCCTGCCCCTTGATGGTGCCATTCCCGCTTCTCCCCCTCTCCACGCTCTTGTTCGGCAGACTGCCGTCGATGACACTCTCGTTGGTGCCAGTATAACTGCCATCTGCTGTGCGCCCCCCCGAACTCTTGCCCCTACACACTCTTTTCCCCTGCCGGTTTGGTGGTTGTTGGCGTACCGGCATCGATCTGGCATGCGCTACGTTGGCGTCGACGACACCAGGAGGAACCGTCTGCATGCAACCTCTTAAATCCATCACCACATTGTACGAGGCTGGTTTGAGATTTCATCCTCGTGGACCTTGAAAACGGTTGCAAAGCCAAGATTCCGGTGGCCCACGTCAAAGTGTGAACTGCGTCCCGATTCCGACGTGCATATCTCCCTGGTTTGATCGAATCAGAGGGAAAATATCGCAGGGCATCGTTGCCAAATATATGCTCCACTGTCAACTGTGAGGAGGGTAACTCGTCGAGGTAACCGATATGCATCTGAAACAATACCCTGCGTTTTCAGTACAACGACACGGTGGTCAACTTGGGAGCTTGAGAGTGAACGTGGTGCAAACTTCTATGGCATCCCAAAGGAATTTGTACCGTCATTGAAGAAATAGAGCTCCATGGAAACACGGTCTTCACGAAGTTCACTCATTCCGTCTTACAGATGACATTCATAAGCAGGCTTTCGGTGCCCCAAGTTGCGGTGTGAAACCGGGTCCCGAATCCTTTGAAACATGCTGTTCACTTTCGTAACCCTACGTGAGAATTTCAGTCCTTCCTTCTTGCCCATGGCATTCATTCGAGGGTTGTAGGTGCGAGAAGTCCGGGTCTGAAATCGAGTCCCGCCTCCGACACGCATACACCCTTGTTTGCTTGTGTCAGAGGCATAACATCGTAGGGCGTCATCGAGCAAAATATGTTTAGCTGTCAGCTTCGAGGAGGGTCAATTGTCGAGAGAACCCATACGGATCTGAAACAAGACTCTGTGTTTTCGGTAGCACCACACAGTGATTGCATTAGGAGACAAAGTTCTTCGAAATCTGTGATATCCCAAACAACGTGGTACCACATGTCATCGAAGAAACAGAGCTTCACGGAAACACGGTCTTCACGAACTTCACTCATTCATTCTTGCCGATGACATTCACAGGCAAAGCTTTCGGTGCCCCAAGCTGCAGCTCCCAGGCTCCCGGCTCCCGGCTGATGCGTGTTGGTCGGTGAACTGGTTGGTTCGAATGCGGTGCTCAGAAGAAAGCGGCGTAATGGCCAACAATACTCGCAAATAGACAAGACCCCAAGTAGGTGCGAAGTAAAATGTGGACAGCTGATTGGCAGACGCCAAGGTACCTCTGTCCCGTCCCGGTGGCTTTATGCTGCAGAGTTCTTTGTGTCCACCGTATTGAATCCAAACCCTTGTGTCAGATCTTTCCAAAAACTGAAGAAATACATGTTCATCGTTGACAGCGTACTCTTTCCACTCTCCAAAATTGTGAATTGTGAGCGTCCATCTTCCTAACTCGTGCTCGGCCCAACCACTACCTCTTACTACCAACATCCAGGCAAGCAACGCGACCGGAGAGGTAGCGCGTGTTCTGATCGAAGACGTACACGACGCAGTCTTCGACCTAGCGGAGCTCATCAAAATGTTTAGGAGTAAGAACAAGGTTTCGAAGATTCTGATGTCTACGCTGTTTAAGCGACGCCAGGACGAGCTGGACGCGGTCGTTGACAGAGCCATCCTGCGCCTGCAAGTGAGTGGACGACAGCACCGTATGTTTGTAGGTTCCACGACGTGAGGTCGTTGTCATTTCCATACGCTTGCACGAGCAGTTTTATGCTGAACACCCGCAACTACGTAATGCATTGACACGGGTTAGCTGTCCTGCGTGGGTCTCCTTGCTAGCTTTACACCCGAGTTGTTCCCCTTAACTAATCAGCAAATGTTCTCTTTGCTCCGCTTGTTCCCTGTCCGGAATGCTATGTCCCCAGCTGGGTCTGCAGGTGCAAGTCGGGCACGACGTAAACGCAGTGAAGAACGATATCAGCGCGGTAAAGGAAGGGATTCTCCTCTACAAGGTGCGCCATAAAGAACAAACCGTACTCTACCCGCCGCAGATTTCGTATGAAAGGTTGTGATTTGGTGTAAGCCCGTCACCGAATCGTCGTTGGGCTCAACCGAGTCGGCATTTTAGCCAAGGCTACTTGGGATCCAAACGCCCCCGTCACTTCTATGCCCGGCGCTATTTGTCGTTCTTTCAGGGTCTCGAAGAGGCAACGTCAGAGTCTCTGGCGGAGGCTCGTAGCACAAGGCGACAGCGCAAGCTCGACCAGATCGAGATCCCTGAGGAGCATCTGACCATTACGGATGACTTGCTGGGGAGGGGCGGCTTCGGCGAGGTCTTCTTAGCTGACTACAACGGCCGAAACGCGGCGTGCAAGGTACCTATAAGAGCTACGTAGTTGAGTTGGCAGTTTCGGTTCATTCGGTAGGAGCCGGGGAAAGAGGGACCACCTTTCATTTAGCCGCCACCCACAGTTCCCAGCGAAATGAGTGTTCGCGCGGTTGGCTGGTTTGGAAAGATGTTCTAGGTGCACGGATTTACTGCACGACGCCAACGAGCGCAAAGAACTCTCGCAAGATTGGCTTTTTCAGTCGAGACGGGCCGTGTTCTTTGTCTAAACCAGAACTGATGTTCTGTACAGCGGCTCGAACTCCATGCACGAGGAGTCTGCAATTTTGATCGTTGAGGCGGTCCTAAGGTCGTCAAACCCATGTGACATCCCAGGTACACAACCAGCGAGAGTTTTGCTCGTTAGTGAGGCACTTGAGCCATCTGCGGGCTTGCCATTTTATGCGGCTGCCCCGCCCACGCCCGCTCCGCGGCCTTTCCGGTGTAGGTAGTGCATGTCGCCCACGACCAAGGCGCACTCAGGGAGATCTACGAACTCGGCCAATCGGTCGCCAGCAGCCATTCCAAAACCCAGCGCGAGCAGAACCAGCGCAGAGCGTTCCTCCGCGAGCTGGAGGCCATGATCCGCTTGCAGAGTCCTCACACGGTGAATGTCTACGGAGCGGTCACATGTCTGCCAGACCGGCTTATTCTGGTCATGGAGCTTCTCTCCGGCGGCGACCTCCGAACGCTGTTGAGTAGCTGTGATCAACCTTTTCCTGAGGAGCAGTCCCGCCGGATCATTGGAGACGTTTGCTCTGGCATGGCTTTCTTACACAGCAAAGACACGGTCCACGGTGACCTTAAGTCTGCAAACGTTCTTCTGGACGGCGCTGGCAGGGCCAAGGTGGGATCGGCTGGTTGCGGAGTCTGGACGAACGGCGGAGATGGTTTTCCCACCTCAACGTCCGGTGTATTTTTCGCGGCGTGGGATGTTTTGGCACTCTCATTCAGAGAAATACTTAGAAGGTTCGAACCATTCAAGACGTTCGTGAGATCGGTGGTAGAATGGAGATTACACAGGCTTCGTTCCATGAGTCGAGGCTTTTTAACAAATCACCACGAACATCACTGGTGCCCCGACCATCCCGAGCATTCTCTCCTCCTTGGAAAATCAACTTCTCCTCCTGCCTATTCCAGATCGGTGATTTTGGGACGTCTCGATGGGCGCAGCACACCAACTCGACCGGCCTTGCTACGTACACCACGAGGTCTAGCCGGAGCACCCCCATGAGTCTTGCCTGGAGCGCTCCGGAGGTGCATCCATCACACAAGAGTGTTTTGTGGCTGTCCCTCCGGTGCAGATCTGAAATCTGAGTGTATTGCCCTCCAGTTGCAGCCTGTCGACCTCTACAATGTCTCAATCGAAACACGTTAGCCTCACCCTTGTCAATCCTTTGACTGACGTGCCCTGTACGAATGACAGGTGTTAGAAGCCGAGGGAAGCACATACGAAAGCGACGTGTATAGCTTCGGAATCGTGGCTTGGGAGGTTATTTCGAAGAAGATGCCCTGGGCGGACAAGATCCGCCCCAGGGACGTCATATGCGCCGTCCTAAAGGGGCTGCGGCCTGTCATCCCGGCTGGTGCGACGGTCGATATTGCTGATGTAATGAAAGCCTGCTGGGCCGAGGAGCCCGAGGCCCGACCTAAATTTGGCGCTATCATGGAGGGTCTCAAGCTGAACGGTTGGAAAGAGTAGACACGCGGGGTACAATTTGTTGTTCGGAGAATACTGCTATGTATGTTGTTTTTGGACACGCCGCGTTCTGGCCACCGGCTTGGTCTGGGAGGACGCACGTTTCTTGAAGCTTACATTTACAATTGGAGTAAGCAATTTTCGCCGAGCATTGGGCCCCACTTCCATAAGTTGACGGAAGTCGGACTTCTACCGTGTACCCGAGGCACCTGGGACCTTGCAGGGTTTGTTGGGGGAATTAGGTGTGCTGCGCGACGTACTGTAGTTCAGGGCACAACAGACAGTGATCTCCTACTTCAAATTCCTGCCAATGGACAGCATGAAGGAGAAATTTAGTTATTCTGTCATGATTCTGTTGAGCATTTTTTTAGAAGCGTCACCGGATGCTGTGGTGGTTCGGATGTCACTCTCAGTTGACACCCGTTCCTTTTCCGGAGAAATATGGTTTACCTGTGAACGTCTGTGAGCGGGCCATATTCATGCACGTCCGAAGCAACGCATGCGGGCTGGGCTTCTCGCTGTGGTGCGTTCTCAACGGCCATCACTTCATACTCTTTCATGCCAAGGAGCCAGAGTGTTGACGTGATGCCCACGCGGGACTGGCAATGGGAGATATTTGCCGTCGTAGACGGACGAACCAATCCAATATTGACCAAGGGTGGCCTACTTGATCAGGTTAACTACCCGTTTTCCGCGATTATTCCGCTCAGTATGTCAACAGGCGAACAGCAGTTTGCTATCGTCCTGCCTCGCTTGCGGGGGGGCAATCGGGAAGTGGTTTTGTTTGGCACCCGGCGGTCGGTATGATACGCTGAGTCCTTGGGGCAACTCTTTGGAGCGTTCGCAATGGATTGGACGTGTGCTTTCGTGTTCGGTGTTTGGTGTTTCGCACAGAGTTGACTTCACTTGTGCATCTATACGCGCACATAGTAGTAAATTGCATTTGGCATCGCCCCGGATGGGTAAACTCGAAGTAGGTTGTTCTTCGTGTGATTGGGTGTGGATGACTATAGCCTCTGTTCCGAGGTGTCTGTCGACGAAGCGGTACTACCGCTGCTATTTGTAAAATCGTTCGGGGTGAGGATGGCATGGTTTCGCGGGGATCACATAAATGCAGTCGCACTTACACGGTAGTGAGGAGTTTGGCTGGATATTGGCCGTATCTAGTTTACGGTGGCACATTTTCTACACTACATGTAGTATCCGCGTCTTACCAGCGGGACCTCACATTCGAGAACAGGGGGCTATAGCTAGAAAGAACAAAATTACTACGAGATACCGGCAGCAATGGTGGCAATCTTAAGGTTTCCCCCCACCATTTAATTATTCGGTAATGCTGTATACGACACCGCACCACACCCTTCGAAACTACATTCTCTGTGTTCCTACGGCTCTCAGCTGTCGCGCAAGCCTTCGTCCCTTAGTGACCGGTGGTTACCGAGATTTGGCCCAAGATGATGTCACGGCAACACCTCCGTGGTGTCGTAAATAAGCGTCCAAACTTTCCGAACCCACCTCCAGAAGGCACGAAACCCCTTGCACTGTGTTCCCACGGCCCCCAGCTATCACACAAGCCGTCATTTGGTCGAAAACAATTTGCGGTTCCCGACATACGCCCAAGAAATGTGGCCGCAGCACCACCTGCGGTTCCCGACATACGCCCAAGAACGTGGCCGCAGCACCACCTCGTCGGTGTCGTAAATTTGCCTTATTTTTTACGACACCGCGCGACCGTTTCCGAGAACACATCCTATGGGCACAAACCAAATTTTGCTGTGTTCCCTCGCCCACCAGCTTGTTCCGTAGCCGTTGTTCGGCAAAATCAATACGTGGTTGCCGGGATACGCCCGAAGAATATGCTCGCAGCACCACCTCGCCGATGTCTTATTTACGACACCGCGCGCAACTGTCCGAAAAACTCCAATAGGCATGAAATGAATTGCACTGTGTTCCCAGGGCCCCCAGCTGTCACACATGCCGTCATTCGGCCGAAACCAACAGTCGTAAATATGACACATTTACGGCACCGCGCAACACCTTCCGACAGCTCATCGAATGGGCGCAAAACCAAGTTTTCTGTGTTTCCACGCCTACCAGATATCGCGAAAGCCGGTATTCGACCGAAACCAACATGTGGTTGCCGCAATCCATGTACACCAACATGTTGCCTTTCTAGACGGCCTTACGACGGCCGAGCACGAGGGCGCAGGTGGATGGGAGAAATAAAGGGAGCACAAAATGGAGAAGAAACGGGAATACAAAAGGGAGACAGTGGGGTTGGCAAGGTAGCCGAGGAGGGTGGAATGCAAACGGCGGGGGGCACATGTTCAACTGAGCCGGCGTGGTATATCTGCAGGAGGTTGGCGTACGGGCCGCAAGGGGTCAGGCTCACTTGGCAACAGAGAGAGTTGGGTGAGGCGCGCAACCCTCAGTTTCCACGAGCAAAGCGTGGAAGGAGGGTGGGGGGTAGAAAGCCAGACATCCTTCGCCGAGCGCGCTGGAGGGCATCAGCGACGGAAACACCGCAGCGGAGGAACGTCCAAAACAGCGTGCGGGTCGGAAACCGCTTCGGATGGTGCATAGGTTTGAGAGATATGCGATTGGGCGGAGCGCAAGGTAGGTTGACCGATGATATTCTTCTCGCCTGTCGCAGTTAGTGTAAATATTTTTCCGAATACCGCCGAATTTGCTGCGAATTTCACGGACGGGAGGAGTGAAACTTATCAGGGCCGTTTCCATGTAGTCCACATATTTCACCGACATACCTTGGACCATCGCATTGGTTTCGCATAATTTTCACATTCAGGTATTCATGACTGTCGTGCTACTTGAAGTACTGAAAAGGCAGAGATCGGCTTCAGATACACATCGGTTCCCTTGACGAGAAAGCCCCCTCGGTGCTGACAGTGAAACATGTTTTCGGCAACGACAACCTGCGATGTTATGTCCTTGATTCGATCAAACAAGGGACACATTCTTGTCTGAGTCGGCACTCGGTGTGCCACCGGGACTTCGGGCACAGCCAGCCCTCCATATGAATGCCATGGAGAAAAAGGAAGGAGTGAAAATCTCCCGTAGGGGTGACGAAAGTGAAACAGAATGCGTTGAAGAAGTCGGGACTCGGTCTCACGGACACCGAAAGCCCTGCCTATGAAGTCGTCGGAGAGGATGCATGAGCGAACTTCGTCAAGACTGCATTTGTGTGAAATTCTATCCCTTCAATGATATGGTACCATCCCTTCAATGATATGGTACCATTTTCTTCGGGATGTCACAGATACTGACCATGTTTCACTCCCAATCCGACCACCCTGTCGTGTTGCCGAAAATTCAGAGTCTTGCTTCCGCTTCATATTGATTCCGTCGACGAGTAACCGTTCTCGAAGCTGACAGTGAAACATGTTTCGGGAAATGAAAACCTGCGATGCTATGTCTGCGATTCGATCAATCCAGGGACATATACGTGTCGGAGTTGGGACTCGGCTTCACACCGGGACCTCTGGCACAGACAGCCCTCGACATGAATATCATGGATAAGCATGAAGGAATGAACTTATCCCGTACAGAATATGTGGAAGGGAGTCGGGATCCGGTTTCACATGCAACTTGGGACACCGAAAACTGCCTATGAAGTAATCCGCAAGAATAAATGAGGGAGTTTCGTCAAGACCGTGTTTCCATGGAGCTCTATTTCTTCAATGACGTGGTACTGTTTTCTTTGCGATGTTGCAGAATATTTGCAACACGTTCACTCCGACTTTGACCACCGTGTCGTGCTACTGAAAACGCATGTTGAGTTCAGTTTCAGATGCATATCGGTTCCCTCGACGAGCGACCCTCCTCATAGCTGACAGTGAAACCTGCATGTATTTGGCAACGACGTCCTGCCATATGATGCCTCTGATTCGCTCAAACCAGGGAGATATTATGCGTGTCGGAGTCAGAACTCGGTTTCACAACGGGACGTAGTGGGACGCCAGAAAATCTGGGCTTTGGAACCGTTTATTAGGTCAACGAGGATGACAATCCCTGACCCGCCTCGTACGATGTGGTGATCGATTCAGGAGATTGTATGCAAACGGTTCCTGCTTACCTAGTCGACGCAAGCCAGATCGATGCCGGTACACCAACAACCACCAAACCGGCAGGGGAAAAGGGTGGCCAGGAGCAACAATCCGGGGGGGCGCGCAGCGGATGGCAGTGATTCTGTCGCCAACGAGGGTGACATCGATGGCAGTCTGCCGAAGAAGAGCGTGGAGAGGGGGGGAAGCGGGAATGGCACCATCGAGCGGCAGGATGACGACAGCGACGACTATTCGGAAGAGAATAGAATTAGCAGCGACGACCACGAGGATGCCGACAGTGATGCCTACTTCGGCAAGGATAGGAGTACCGGCGATGACGATCACAACTGGGGGCCTACGTTCGACGACGACCACGACAATGAAGGTGCGCACCCCGCAGAACGTGCAAAAGCTGCGGCAGAACGCCGCGAGGCATTCGATCAGCGCCTAGTCTTCGCCACGATGATGGCGAAGAGCAAGGGAGAACGTGGGCGATATCTTGCGGTCAGTTTCGCCTGACCAAGCCCTGGATATACAGGCCCAAGTCGGGGCATGCATTCAGTACCTGCTCGGTGGGCAGACGACCGCGAATCTAGCGTAGGAATCCAAGAAAGGGAGACCGAACCTTTCGACTCGCGAGGAAGAGGTCTCTATGTCAAGCGAGAGGAGGAGCAATCGCGCATCGGCTGTACTGCGACACCCGCAGACCCGCGGAGGCTGAAGGACAAACCCCGGAATCAAAAATGATGAAGGATTTGACCGAAGGTGGACATCGGCGTACAAGAAAAAGAACGAAACCGAACACGTACAGTAGTTGACCATGGAGTCGTTCCGACGGTGGGAAGGGGAGGTGGTGTGTGTCACATCTTTTGCGCCCATGAATAAGGCACGGTACGGTTACATCGAATATCCGTTATTGTTCTTTCGGCGCGTTCGTGTGCAAGGGTGTGTGCGTCGATTGCTCCAGTTTCGAACGTGGTTGTTCGTCTGACGTCCGGTGCCATGTTCGATATGCGATGTTCCGTCGACCACGCGTCTCTGTGGTGATGTCTTCAACATCCGAACGCAATTCATGCTTCGCAACTTGACCGTACATCATCAAGTAGCAACCCCCCCCCCAGCAACAACACCTGCCCTCCTTGAACGCTGAATGAAAACTCCGGCAACGTCGTGAAAAGATTGCTCATCGACACCGTAAACATTCACAACAGAGTGTGTGGAAGACACAGAAAGAACGCAGAAAAACGTTTCTCCCCATTTCAGACTGCAGACCTTTGAAAAGGAACTTGCACCGCCCGAACAGAGGTATGCGTGTGCCACACGTTAGCGCTGCAAACGTCGAAGTGGCAGGAGCAAGAACATCTGTACCACGTGAACATGACCGGCTGTTTAGTCAACGAGCGAAAGGCAACATGTAAGTTTGCATGTAGACTAGCGTCAACCACATGTATCTCGGCAACCACATGTTGATTTCGGCCGAATAATGGCTGCCGCTAAAGCTGGTGGGCGTGGAAACACAGCAAAATTTAGTTTGTGCCCGTAGAATGTGTTCTCGGAGAGATTCGCGCGGTGTCTTGTTGACAACACCGGCGAGGTGGTGCCTCGGCCACGTTCTTGGGTGTATCTCGGAAACCAAATATTAGTTTCGATCAAATGACGGCTTGTGTGACAGCTGGGGGCCTAGCTAGGACAGTGCAATTGGTTTTGTGCGCATTGGATGTGTTCTCGGAAAGGTTCGCGCGGTGTCGTAAATATGGCTTATTTACGACACCGACGAGGTGGTGCTGCGGCCACATTGTTGGGCGTATCTCGGGAACCACATATTGGTTTCGGCCAAATGACGGCTTGCGTGACAACCGGGGGGCCTGGGAACACCGTGCAAGTGATTTCGTGCCTATTGGGGGTGGGTTCTGACAGTTTCGACTGGTGTCGTAAATATGCTTATTTACGACACCGCGGAGGTGCCATGGTGCGGTGACATCATCTTCGGCCAAATCTCGGTAACCACCGGTCACTATGGGACGAACGAGGGCTTGCGCGACAGCTGAGAGGCGTAGGAACACAGAGAATGCAGTTTCGAAGCATTTGGCGGTGTCGTAAATAGCATTACCGTTTTGGGAACTTAGTTTGGTATTTATGTGGACGCCGACTTCGCCAGCCCGGAGACGGGCCGAAAGTCGGTGTCTGGGGGGCTTTTAGTGAGTGGCGGAGTCCGCTCTGCCTTGCGAACCAAAACATGGTCGTGAGCCACGAACATGAAAGGTCAGGCGTACGTGCGTGGGTGTGGTTCTTCCGCAAATAGTTTGCGAGTGAATCGGACGTGACAAGCCCGACGTGTGCACGTTCTAAGCGCTTGGTGGATGGATGAAGCCGCCGAAAACCAAAACATTGATTGCGTACCGTGCTTCCAGAGGCATCTACAGTGGGGGTCCCTCTATAGTGCGGGTCATATTGTGCGGGTGCCCGCTATAGTGCGGGTGAAATCGCTTGGCACAAATTGGGTCCTCTATAGTGCGGGTGCCGCACTATTCGGGGCACCCCTCTATAGTGCGGGTTTGACCCCTCTCAAGATGCGGATTTGACGTCACGCCACGTCACCACCCGCCTAGATGCGGTCAAACCTAGATAGCCAACCCACACATTTTCCCGACACACACACACAGTCGTATTGGCGTTCGCATTTAGCGCATTGCGCATTTTTCGAATTTTGGCCCCATTCCAGGGACCTTGATTTTTACCCGTTGGCACTGACGTCTTTTCATTGGTCAGCCGGTTAGCGCTGTCGATGCTAATAATAAAAAAAAAACACACACACACACATACCCAACTGGCCACAGCAACAGCAGCAGAGGCACAGGATGCCGTGTGCAGCAGGCGAACTCTGCCAACTTAGCAACCTCACACCCAAAGCCCCCGACGGCCACCAATGTCGAGGAGGATGTGGCGGCAGACTGCATGGTATATGCGGCGAGGTGGAGGAGGACGGCGAGAACGAAATGAACCGCCTCTGTCCGGCGTGCTTCTCCTCCAAACTTTCCAAACACTTTGCCCCCCTGGAAAGCTACGCGGCAGGGTGCAGCTTGAACGAGGCCAGCTACTTGCTCAAGAGGGCACGGATGTTGATGATCGAAGCGCATGCATCGAAGACGTCGCGCCAGGCCGATGTTAGGGATTTTTTTGACGCGTGGAGCAATCAGCCGTTTTGCCCCACGCACCTCCTGCTGTAATTTGCTGGTAGTGGATCTGCCGGGTGTTTGAATGAGTCAACTGTCTGCGAGTTTCACTTTGCCGTTTTTTCTTCAAAGCCGCCCCCCCCAAACGTAGATGGCGTTGTGTTGTGTGGGGTTTTCTTGGAAAACTTGAGGTAGAACGTGCGGAAAGTACAATGTAGGATTTTTTTGGGGGTCCTTGTTTCTATTATATTTTTCTTGGAGTGTCCCCCCTATCTTTTTTTCTCCGTGGGTCGTGTTGAAAAGGTGTTTGTTTCGTTTGTGAACGGACGTGTTTCGTATTTGGCAAGTTCAGGTTTCATTTTTCAGGCCTAACCTTGTTTTTTTAATGTGCAAGCGGAACTATCAATGCAGAATGGAACAAGGAACAACAACATGGGCTGTGCGCAGCCTTCCTTTTTGGTACAGAGCGTACATTGCGTAACATCTCTGTACAGTACAGGATGTGGTTGTATAATGTTTGCCGCTGCTGTGCAGTACATCCCGATGTATGTGCACCTGTTGCTGTTCTCTGCTCACCTGCGAACGGATGCAGGCTTCTATCCGTAGAGATACTGCAATTTTTCCCTCCCTCACTTGTTACATGCACTACCGTGCCACCTGCATACAGTATCCCTCGCTTTTGGCTACGTCCTATGCTAAAACCTAGTGATTTCGTGGATAGTGCGCACTATTGAGGGTTCTGAAACCCTAAATAGTGCGCCTTCCCGCACTATTCAGGCCCGAAAGCATATAATGCGGGTGCCCTCTATAGTGCGGGGTTTATCGCGTGTCACATACCCCGCACTATAGAGGGACCCCCACTGTAATGAATTAATACACCGCAGGGTGCGAGTCATCGCACAGACCGGAGCTATCGCGCACATGGGAGTGAGTCAATGCGCAGGTGCCGGAACAATAATACTTCAATCTACTGTCGCATAGGTATGATCGCACCGCGGTGCGATAACCCCGGGAAGACAAACCCGGCGGGTGATGTTGAATTTCAACCGCGAGTGGTTCCGGGGCTTAGGCGCTCAAACATTGCAGTGCTGTAGTACTGGGGTTTCCTCGTGAGTTTGCCCCACCGCTGATTTGGTGGCTCCGACACAGCCTACATTCATGCTGTGAAATGGAGATATTTTCGTATCGGCTTGCGGTTTGCCACTCAAAAAACCATGCACGCGGAGTCTGTACGGTAAACCCATATATCCTGACAATGACGACTGGCCGTGCAAAGCCCACCATCATTCGGCGCGACATATTACGTGTCTTGACGTGGTCACTGCACTGCTCGACAATCAAATGCTTTCCTCGGTCACAACCAAATCAGTTGCCTAGCGGGTAACCTTGCTGCAGGGAATGCACAAGCTGCGCCCATGCCAGATGCAAGCCATCACCTCGCTGTCCGGACCACCGCATGAACCTCACCCCAACCCCAACCTCGAGAAAGGAATCGCCCACCACCAGTGGTTAGCCAGCGTCCAAAGGCACACACGATTCAAAACTAAAGAAACGGCGAGCGCCTTCGGGAGCGAACTACGCGATCTTGAGCCCGAAACGCTGCGCGAGGTCCTTCGCGGCGGTATCGTCTCCCAACGCCACCTGCAGCCTCACAACTCTCTCAACCGCCGCCACCAGTGCCGCCGTCCCCTTGCCCCCTCCAACTCCTCCCGACCCCAACCCGTCTCCGAACAACCTCGCCGTTATTCTGACAGACGCCAGCGGCGCCGAGGCGTTCGTCCGCTCCATCCAGTCAAGCGGCAGCAGTTCCACCGCGCGCTCGCACAGGGCGAGAGCTTCGCTCCAGCCCGCCCCCATGGCCGCAGCTCCCTTGTGCCCTGCGCCGTTCGAGATCCCGGCCGCGGTGCCGCTCGCCTTCCCGCGCGCGCCCAACTCCCTCAACGCCGGGACCAGCCTCTTGGCGACAAGATCACCCAGGGCGAGGGGGACGAGGGACTCGGGGGACAGGAGGTCGCGCCAGGCCAAGCAGTTCCGGAGGAGCTTTAAGCCCCTGGAGGCCTGGATGCGGACCAGGCGAACCGCAGCCGCTCGGCCGCCCGGGGTCGTGGACGCGCCGATCAGCGGTACGCAGACGTTTTGCACGGCCGCCTGAGTCGGGAGAGGGAGGAGAAACGAGCGTAGGGAGGTTCGGGTGCTGGTTCACCGTAATCTACACCGTAGGGACGTAGGGAAACAACTGTCTATTCTGCAAGTGCAGGCGTGTAAATCCCAAATGACTTGAGCCATGAAGAAACACGAGCAATTAGAGCTTCTCGAGGAACCGGAATGGGGCCTCGGAAAACGCGCCGGGTTTTCCCCTGAGGGATGTCCTAAAACCAACCTGTCCATCTGCTGTACATGCTGCATTGGTGCGCTGTGTCAAGGGTAGTGGCGATGTGCGCCTCAAAAAAAGTTGAAACCACGAGCGAGACAATCCAGCCCATCAAGTAGATTGGTTCCGGAGGAAACCATGGGAAACTCGTTCCCCCCGCGTCCTGATGCCGAACAGGGGGTATCGTAAACTACAGACAACAACAACAGCTGGAAATTGTAGGGCACACCTATTGTCATTTTCAAGCCCCAGCCGTTCGACGAAGCGCCCAACGCTGAGACCCTTGCCAAGCAGCAAATGAACCGCCAAACAAAGATAAAATCAAGCTCAACACCCAGTTTCGCCCGGAAAAAGAGCAGGGAGCACTTTACCTGCAAAGCTCGCATAGCCGAGCCTAGCAGGGTCTTGAGCGACTCCTCCGTAGGATCATAAACCAGGATCTCCGAAACGGCCGAGACTAGGCAGGCCGTCTGTCGCCGTGACATGGCGTCGTACGCCGTGGACAGGCGTTCTGCCACCAGGGGAAGCGCCACTTTTTCCACCAGCTGTATTGGAAGGGGGTGCGGTTGGAATCCCCGAGACAAGGACGGGCAACGGTGGATCAGCGGGAAGGGTTCAAAACGGGAGTGTTGATAGCTATACGTCATTCGTTCACAGGTCAAGCTCTCTACTCGACACCTCCAAACACACCACTTGTACTCGTCCCCCAACCGCACGAGCTGCCGAAGACACCAATAACAGCACAGAACACCGCCGTTGCCCCTCGTAACATGCCCGACGATGCAGTGTCCCCATCATGCCATGCGTGACTGTTGTCAGGGCATGTTCTGGCGATCATGCCCGTGCGGAGCATGGAACTGAGCAAAAAACAGCAGGTACTGGAATAGGCATCTTCTTGATTTCTCCCCTCGTAACCGTGCAAAGTGTTCGTTCGGTGTCTCCCACGCGGGCATAAAAGACACCGCACGGAGGTCCTTGCTCATCAATGCGACCTGGCGATGATTGCCAGTCGTCTCTGAACAATTTCTTACCACCATCAATCGACGAAAGAGCCTAACCCACACGAAGTAGGGCCGCATTCGCCAACAACGCCGCAACCCATACCGCTAGCCGCGGAGCTGGCGCAAACGCTTTACCTGGGGCACAAGGTTCTGGTCGGGGTCCTCATCGGCGCCGTAACCCGCGCTGTCCGGTGGAGGAATATCCCCTGAGAAGTCGAATAGCCTGCGGTACCACTCGAACCTTTCCAAGGCACCTTCCAAGTCGTCTTCCCCCTCGTCGGTCTCGTCGCCCCCCGCACCCGGTGGCTTGAACCCCACTTCCTCCTCCTCTATCTGCTCCTCGTTGGGCGGTCCTTTGGAGTCGTTTTCGACCCCCACGGCAGCAGGTTTCCGGCCTTTGCTGTTATCCCGACTATTCCGTGCGCCGACGCCGTCGACTCCGTCCACATTGCCAGTTAGCGGATTCCAACGAACCAGCTGTGCATGGCAAGACCGGGGGGCGGGGGGTTGTTCAAATAAGTGTCTGTAGCACGGGCTCGATGATATGCTGTCGTAAGAGGCTTCGAACGCTGTACTAAACACGACGCAAAGATTAGCCAATGAAACGCCATCCTCAACGATAACTGACGCCCTAACATCAACAACCCAAACGATTAACCCGAATTTCGGATCGTACCGGCATGCATACCGGGAAGCGACTGGAGAAGGGTAGAGAAACGATACCCCGCCCTCCCTCTCCCCGATTCTTCTTTACTCCGTACCTCTAACCGGACGAACGGTGCAAGAAGATCCGGAATCGTGAGCGTGCAGTAGGCTTGGGCGTACTGCTCCCCGTGCTGTCGTTTCCATTCCTCGAATAGAGCCTTCACCGTGGACACCGACTGAGAAACAAATACAGGGAAGAGTTTCACAAAGAAGAGCGAAGACCGTGTTTGCAGAGTCAAACTTGTTCTTTTGGCGACGATGAACGCAGGTCTCTGTGGTATTGACTGCCGTCGTAGTACCGCTGTGGCCATTGCCATACCGCTGCGGCTCTGCTTCGGTCGCGTGTCGTACTATCGTCTTGATCTTGGGCATGTGCCTCGCATCTATTGCCTGAGCTTGTGTGTCGCGGTAGCGTTTGTGATAAACGCCAACCCTGGAATTTGAATCTGCGTTCTCTCCGTTCTTTCCGATCACCGCGCCGGTTTTTAATAAATTTGGGATCGGGCCGACTTGTCGTCGGGAAATATGCATGACGAAGACCGGCACCGCTCCATTCTGAGTTGAAGGAGCCGTTCGAAAACCTGTGTGACTCGGCAAATAGCGAACAAGTCGCTCTAGAAAGCCCTGGACTGGAACAGCGCAACCACTAGCACATCGAAGGCAGCGTCATCATAAATCTCAACAGCCGTACCCATACACTTCCCTCTCAAGAGCATCGCGCGTTTTCCACATTCCGGAAACACGCCCTCACCTTAACGCTGTCGTCTACGTCCTCCATCACCATCTCAGCCGCCTCCAGCACCCTCGTCAGCCTCTCCTCCTCCCTCGCCTCCTCGCCCTCGCTCTCCTCCCCCTCTGACCCCAGCGCCTGCCACACCTCTGTCCGCTCCTTCTTACCCCACGGGAAGCTCTTCGACCCCACCCACCCTTCCCCCTCGCGGACCCCACCGGGCCCCTCCCCGGTCGAAGACCGCCTCCTTCTTTTGTGCCGTTCGGCCCGCCGCCTGGACCTATCATCTCCCCCGCCGTTCGCACTGCCGCCCATGGAGGCCCCGCCGACTCGCGGGGCTTTGGACAACGGCCCCCCGGGGCAAGCACGGTAGGGGCCCAGGCCGGAGACAATCACCCCGGCGTCCCTGGCGTCGAGGATCTCGTCCTCCTGGTCTTGGAGGCGGACTTGTACAACGCGCTCAAGGCGGCGGGTGTGGAGGAGGCGTTTTGCAGCCTCAACCTCAGAGAGCATGTCTTCCTAGGAACGGTGGCATAAATAAACATTGGGTTCATGTCTTTACCTTCTTGGCGTGTTGATTGCGGTATTACTTGCCAGGGACAAATGTATTTTGTTTTACCAAGCTTTCCTGGGAAGTTAGGGGGGTACGCAAAGTAATGGGGTTGCCTGTACTGATCGTTTGGATATTTTCAATTCCCCAGGTTTGAGTTTTGTTTATATTGTTGCGTTTTAGTAAATACTTAGTATGCCGACAAACACAGAAAGGTATCCAGTTCGAGAGCAACCTTGGATAATGGTGTTTTCTGGTTGTGGTGGGTGCTATTGAATTGTTAGTTTTGGAGGCGCAACATCGAAAAAAAAGTACTTGTTTCATCGGGCAAGATGTAACGAGTTTGTGTTATTGGTTCATTGTGAGAGATTCACATGTCTCTCTTGGATTGGTTATTTAGCCACCGCGGGGTGAAGAAACCAAGAACGAAATGGCTCTGCCTTCTTGCGTGTTGCTCCTTTGCACCGTCAGGGAGTGAGGTGAACATCGGCATCCAATTTCACGTTTCCGGTGCTTCATCTAGTACGGCAGCATTTTGGACACTTCGCGAAAAGGGAGACAACCAGCGACGGAGGTAGAAGACCAGCTGGCGTTCTCAATCCATTGTCTTTAACGGAAAGTCTGCGGGGAGAAGGGGCGGGAGAGAGCGAAAGGAAGGGTATGCCTGCCGCTGTGCATGGCCGAACCGTAGACGCTAGTATCCAAACGAAGCAAGATTGCATGCACATCAAGTAGAAGACAAAAATGTGAAACACTTTGCGACTCACCTTTTCGCGAAGCATGCCGCACAGGTCGGACAGAGCGTTTCTTGTTTGCTGGAAGAAGCCGAATCTTTCCGCGGCCTCCTTTTCCTGAGACGAAAGCTTTTTCTCCTCTGCTACCTGCGTAGCTAACTCCGACACCAGCTAACAAACAGAACAACAGTTGTGACAGCAACGGCAACATCAACGGCAACCAAATGTCAGAGGTGACAAGAACACAAGAGCTGTGTCGAAGGTTGTGTACACAGTCAATTGTTCGGAAGGCTTCGACGGCCGTCTCTTGCATATTTCATTCTTCCTGCTCGATGTTTCAGGTTTGCAAACGAGAGTTTCGCGCCTCACGATGTCGACTTCAACACCTATCTCATACTGACAGGACGCCATCTAACCCACCCCTTTCGCTTCTGCCCGATGTGCTCCGTGAGGTTACGCAATTCGCGTGACCTCAGATATGGTCTCCCTACCTCAGAAAGCACTTACCACCACGAAGCATCTCTTCGTGTGAGCTTCGTCACGCAGCAGTGCGCGTGCATGGCCGGCAAAGGCCCACCAGCGACAGGGGGAAACACGCCAGCAGAAGAACGCAAGGCCTCCCTTATCCTAGTCTCCACTCACCCGTAGAAGACAAGCCAAGAGCTGTGAGTGCACACCAGAGCAGAAATCTCACTTTCACCCCTCAGACGGCTTTTGAGGATGTCGCTCTCACTCATGCTCTCTCACTCTGACTTGCTCTCCCACCTTCCTTTCACTCTTTCACTTGAACCCTGACTCTCACTCGCAACACCCGTTTTCCTCTAAATTTTACCACACTCGACGGACCCTGACACTTACGCTTTCACTCTCAACTCACTCCCAAATTCACTCCCAAATTCACTCTCTCGCTCACACGAACGAATTCACTCTCACTTACAATCTCACTATTCACTTCAATTTCTCTTTGATTCACTCTCACTCTCCATGCGATTCACTCCGTTTCATTCTTACCCTTCACTCTCACTCTCAGCTCACCACTTGTAACTGCCGCTCATTCCTCTCGTGCGTCTCCCGCAGCTGTGTCCCGGCTTCTCTGAGGGCTTTCTGCATCTCGTCTATGCCCAAGAAACGGGGACGCTCTCCCAGCGTCCCTCCCCAACCACTGCCGGCGGTACCGCTCCCGCCGTTTACTGTGGCGACGGTACTACCGCCGCCCCAAGGCGAAGTCGACGGAATGGAGGGCTTCGGCTTAGCGGCCGGTCGGGTCGCACCCCGCCGAACTTGTTCTTCTTCCCATCTGCAAAGGCGGTCGAGGTAATGAACCACGAGGGCCGTTCCATAAGGTTGGGCGGCATTGTAGGTGGCACGCGACGACCAAGACTGTTGTCAATGCTCTCATTGGGTACAGCCAAACGCGCACAGCAGCAAGGAAAACGCTACTCTATCGAATGGAGTGATTGAGACGCTGCATCCAAAAGCCAGTCATGTTATAAACCTTGTGTTGCCACCTGAGTCGACAACGGATGCAAGGAGCACAATCTTTCGTGTGCTGCAGAGGCCGGGCGAGAAAGATGGCCGTGCTACAATCAAGTCTGCTGCGGTTGTTAGGTTTCGAAGACAACCTAAGGTCCCGGAGACACCCTTAGACTTGCGGAGAAAACATCAGCAAAAACACAGAAACACCGTAAGGAGAAAAAGACCGCCTCGGTTCTAGTTTCGCTGGTACTGAAGGGAGCTGCCGCATCTATCAGTACGGTGAGGGATGTGTTGACAGACCACGGCGAGGGATGCTTCACAACGAACCAGAAACAACCACCCTCCCACCCACCCTCCCACCCACACGCACGCACACACCAAACCCGCTTCGCTCATTCCCATGCCCATTTGGGGTGAAAACACACACGCGACAGAAAAAAAAACATGGAACAACCCACGTGGGGAAACGACCAACCCTGCAAACGGCGAGAGTGTCAGGCATCAGCTGCAACGTGCACGATTAATGCGGGTACCTCTGCTGCTCTTCATCGTCCTCCCGCCCACCGTCGCCGTTGACATCGTGTGTCAAGCCCTTTCTCGCACCGGGGACAGGGGCCTGTCGCAAAGAACAGATCCGAAATCGAACGTGCGGAGAGGAGTTGAGTGATTTTCAGTACGCATGACCGAGGGAGGGTTTACAGTTGCACAAGGAGGAAGGACAGATTAATAAATGTCGCTCGTAGGAAGAGGGCGAAGGTTTGGCTAACGTACGTCACGAACGCTATGGATCACGTTCGGTATCATGCGAAAAAATAAAAATGAGAGGACACGGAGTGTATTCCGGGTCTCCGCTCTGTGAGGGATTTGAGATTTTCTGCGACTCCAGTGAAGTAGCAAGACGGGGTAAGCGTTGGGAACGTTATATAGTCAGAGAGCTTCGGAAGAAATTCGGCGGCCTTGTACAACGCCTAACACTCTCCCCCAACGGAACTTCATGTAAAACCCTTTTTCACCTGTGTCTCAAAATCGCCATGAGAGCGGGACGCAAAAGGCCAACATTTTATTGTCGGCAGTTCTCGTCACTATGTCCGTGAAAACTACAACGGATTGAGTGACTGCGCCAGAAATATTGAGTCTGGTGACTATGTACCTACGAGTTCAACTTGCTGTAAAAGTTTTGTCCACCGTACCTTCGCGTCAAGAGGGATAAAATCCTCGCCATCACCGCTGTCAGGTGCACCTTTTCCCATAGCCTCTCTAGAGGCTAACAACGCCTCGTGCCTGCCCTTGAGGCGCGAAATGTCATTCTTGTTCAAATCCTGCAACGACAAAAACAACGCAACGAACAAGCGCGTCATCAGCTGGACGTAGCGGCAGCCGCAGCATCTGCAACAACGATGACTTCAACGGAAGGACGTCCGCTCCCGCTGTCTGGCAGCAGCAACTGTGGGCTACATGAGCAAAGAGACGAGGCGACGCAGCAGGTACGCAGGCGCTTCTACTGCACGTTCACAACCTGTCATTCGACGTCAAACAATAAACAAAACCCAAACACCCTCATCCTTGGATGGCTGCCAAGGTCCGATCCCTCACCTCTTTCAGGTCCCCCTGCTGCCCCGCCTCGTGTATCATTTCCGCCTCGTCCCCAGCAAAGACTCGCTCGTTCGCCGCCGCTGCGGCGGTTTCCTCGCCCCCATTGCTGCTGTTGCCACCCCTCGCCATCCTCTCGCGCGACCTACCCCCTGAGGGCTTGGGCGTGAAGGCCTGGCTACTGCGAAGCTCTGCGAGGCCCTCCTTGGTGTACATGCCAGCGGTTGCCGTGTGCCAGGAGCCCCGCGCGGAGTCGTTCTGCGGAGCGACGGGGAGCTCCGTTTTCTCTTTGGCGGCTTTGGCCATCGCCTGGTTTGGAGGCGAGGATGGGGAGGACTATTAGATAGGGTGAGGAAGCGCGTTGAAGACAGTTTCACGGTGTTCTTGGCAGAATTAGTGGATCGTGGTGGCCAGGGAGTCGCAGGCGCCGCCGTACAAAAAGGTCACTGGTGCTGTGCAGAAAGCGCTGGTGCGAAGAAACTATCCAGCAATCCTGGTCCCGCTTTGCGCCACATTCGTGGTGGAACTTATTTGTACACACGACTGGCGCGTCGCAGATATAATTTGTCAGCGTACGCTACCCTACGGCTCTTGCAGCATGATGCGAGGAAACCGACCATTCCATAAGGACTAGACACGCGAGCGGCCGAGGCTCTGCGCCAAGGGAGGGAACAAGCCCCGCGGCGTACAGGCTATGCTACACCTTGGCTTCACCAAAAAAAGGAGCTGAGCAGGATTGTTCGTTACTGGGAAGGGCCTGCTGCTGGATTTCAACACAACACTGAAGTACAACGCTTGGGGGGCACGCGACTTGCAACGGGCATCCGCCATCTCTACATACTATGCATTAAAAAACACCAGCATTCCCACTGCACACTGCACAGAGCTCGTCTAGAGCATATAAAAAGCCTGCTGCACAGGCGAATGATTGCGGCCTTAGCTCGCTGCGAGGTATGCAACCGCCGCATGCTACGAGAGGATTCAAATGGCCGCACCAGCGACAAGATCCTGCACGCCGAGCAGCAGGCATGGCGACGAGGCCACAACAGCTCAACCTCGGCTACTGCTGCAACCTTCAGAATTCCTCACAAACAAGGTGCTCCATGAAAGCAAAAACCCTGACACCCCCGCCGGCACCTTGCTGGCCTTGCTCTTCTTGACTCGGAAGACGCCATCAGCTCCCTTCCCCGCGGCAGCCTTGCCCACCCCGATCCCAGCATCCTCCTCATCCTCGTGGCCGAAGCTCAGCACAGGCTTGACCCCCTTGTCCGCCTTCGTTTTCGACTTCTTGCGCATCTTTTTCGGTCGGGCTTGCCCGTCGCCCGTCGCGGCGGCGGATGGGGGCGGCGCGGGAGCCGTGCCTACGCTGGCGTCCGACACGTTCCCTGCTTCGTCCTCGCTCGCACCATCTTCCGCCGTCTTGCTCTTGCTCGCCAGGCGCCGACGAGGGTCTTTCTTCCTGGCTTTGAACATAGCGATGCGGCGCTGCGATGGGCGCTTAAGGGCTTTCAACGGCCTCTGCAGGAAATCTCCCTGTGCCTGTTTCCTCTCCGCTTATGTATCTGGTTGCTCTCCCTGCTATCTGGGTAGTGCTTCGTTGCTCGCAAAGAGGTGCTTGCCTGCCGGGGGCTCCGCACATTCGGTGGCAAGGGAGTGCCACAAAATCAGGCGGCGTTTAGGTTCGGGTGTGGCGACCTCTCGAGTGTTTGTTTTGGGGATCCCCGACCGAGCCTCCCGCACTTCGCCCTTCGCCCACCCTGGGGAGCTACCGAACATGGCGACCGAGGAGGCGAAAGTCGTGGATGCCGTGCCTCCCCCCCCTGCATATTACAAGCTTTTCTCCCCGGGTGCGGCGATAGGTGCGGGGTTGCTACCAGTGAAGTAAGGTCCATCATCTCAAAGACACGCTCGTAAATCACTGCCAGGGGCGCTTTACGCAAGCAGCAGCTAAATAGTGCAACTGCTGTGGCGTGCAGAATAGTTGGAACATTTTAAACTGTCTTTGTGCACAGCAGTGAAAACCCTAGAATTCTTCCATTGCTTGCCATTGAAATTGAAATTCGAACAACGAATAATTGTAAGGACACCCATATGGCACACACCATGTGCATCATCGGGTGTCCTATCCAAGGACCGCAAGATACGACCATCATTGTGCATACGGCGGTACAATTACAAGTGAAGCCGTGTTCAGCGCCCCCCGGACGTCTGAGGAAGGGCTATCTGTTCTAGTGTGCGCAAGGGTGTGGAAAAGCATTTGGCCCCACTGCCTACGTGCGCTGTTCGGCGACGAGCACAACGCGATTCTATACAGCGGTGCAGAAGAGTGCTTTGACCTGCCTGCCACTACTGGAAGTTCACGATGTGCCTTCTCTCTGTTGTTCTAATGCTACGCGGCCCTCTGTTAGGCGCTAGCTTGACGGGCCAAGAGGTAGGTGCAAGCGCGGCACCAGGAGATTCAGCCGGAGGCGCAGGAGGAACGACACCAAATGACTTTCCCCTGCAACCACCCCGGCCACCAGGCCCCGGCGAGACTTACAGGATGTTCGGGATGCCTTACAGCTCGGAGGTGGGCGGCAATGGGATGGATTGGCTTGTGCTGACGGGCTAAGGCTGGCGAGCGATGAAAGGCTCGGATGCATTATTCCCCGAGAGTATTGTTGTATGAAAGTACGATGCGTCATTGGGTGGACAAGTAGGTACCTTTTTCTGGCGATAACCAAGCATTGCGTTGATGTGTCTCCCGCAAGTTGGGTTGATACGCTTCCAGTGGCGCCCCCAACAATCACATACCCACGGCACGCGCGGTTGGCGTTATCCCACACCCTACCAGTGCTTGGTTCTATCGTTGGCGTCTCCCTAACCATCCGCATATTTATCCACCTCACAACGAACGTATCCACCCCGTTCTCACATGCCTTGGCCATCGGTTGGCTGATCCTAGCCTGTCGAGCAAGAGCTTCTTCCGCCAGAGAAGATTGTCGTGCCGGCATCCGGCCAGGCGATCGACTTCCGGGCCGAGCTCAAGGGCCTCCTGAACAGCATCATGGCCAACTACGGCCAATTCATGGAGATGCTCGTCAGGTATGGGTGCGCTGGAGTTCAATGTGCCGCGGTAAGAACTACTGTGTCGGAATCGGTCGGTATTGCAGCATGTATGGTCAGTATCACAAGGACGATCGGTGGCTTGATCGTGCTCTACAGGCAACCAGCCGGTTCCAAGGGCTCGTAAGCCGGGCCGGTTCGAGCCTGGTGCTCTATAATAGTCTAGACCCGGGGAGCACCACTGCGACCGATGTGCCAACGATGCCCTGCAAAGCAACGCTACAGCATCTCCATTCGCCGTCGTGTTGGCTGTACTCGAGTAAGCCACGCAACGACTTCGCTTGAGCTTTTCAGTGTCACCTCCCTTCCCCCTTGACCTGGCGTTCTTCGTCTATGTTTCCGTTTTTGCTCTCCGCGGCCACTTCTCTGTGGCATCCCCGTTCAACAGCTCGCCTGCCCGGGCACACGAAAAGCTGTCGGACGTGGAGACGCTATTTGTTAACTTCCACAGCCTCCTCAATCGGTATCGGGCGCACCAGGTAACGTTGGTGATGATGCTACAGAAGCGTACGTATTGCTCGTGTTGGCAGCTTCTCCCGCGTGCTGTTTGTGGCGGTGCGCTGCTTAGGCCCTGGTAGAGCTCCCGTGCCTAGTACATGATTGGGTTTACCGCCTCCTTTGATATACAGTAGTTATCCTGCCGGTGTCAATAACGTACTCCTTTCGTCCGTGTACTCCGCAAGATTGTGGTGGAAATGATTTTGAAAGTGTTGCCATGAAGGGGGTATGCAGGGCGAGGCATCCGTTCTTGATGCCATCATTAATCTGTCAAACAGCGCACAAGAGTAGAACCCCATGCCCGCCCATCTCCGTGCGGTGATACGCGAACTATTTCTCGTTTTTTTCGGGCTTCCGCCGTGCTGATAGACGTCGATGGTGCCCGAGCACTCCGATGGTCAATGCGATCGAGCCATCCAAGCGCTTGCCGCTATATTGCGTTTATTTTAGCAAACTGCCAGGAGCTTGCCTGGTTCCTACGTGTTTTTGTGTTTTTTTCCTGACTGGGTTTTAACCTCCGAGAGCGGAATTTAGTTCATTCGCCGAGCTTGATGGTAGAGGTCGAAACGCTTTTGGTTGGAGACAACATCAACGACAACGACAGCACCACGCCAGGTCTCAATCCGCTCATCACGACGTGTATTCGGACTTCGCTCGCTCCTGCCATTCCTAAATTTCAAAGGCGCGACATATCGTCCTCGAGCGCTTGCGCAGCCAGGCGAAAGAAAACGACGCGGTCATGTCCGCCCTCGAGGCAGCCATGCACCAGTGCACCTCGGCGCAAGAAGGCGCGTTCTCCTGCCTCGGCCTTCAAGAAAACGGCGCCAGCGGTGTTGCCGAGGGAGAGGGGGAGAGAGCACGGCAGGGCCGCGTGGAAATGGATGTAGATGAAACTATTGGGGGGGCGGCTACTACGGCTGTGGGTGAGGGTGGGGTCGCGGGGGAGGGGGTAGCGGCGAGCGAGTTCGGGAAGGCCGGCAAGGGCAAGTTGGGAGCGGTTTTGGCGCCAGCTGTAGAAAGTGGAAACCCCCGATGACGGGGCGGGGAGGGGGTAGGGTAAAAGGTAGAAACGAGGGTTACCCGTTCCGTTTAGGGCGGGAAATAAAATTGGTCGCCTGTCGGACTCCTCTGTCTTGTGTCTCGTCTTGTGATTTGATGTGAAATTATGTGTTGTGCTGTGCTTGTCGTGGTGCGTGTAATGTTTGCAAATCGATTAGCTTTTAGGTTCCTCAAGAACACAAGACGCACGTGGAACAGGCGCAGGAACACCTAACGGTGGGCCGGGTGTTGCGCATCGGTTCAGGAAATGTGGCTCACGTTCTCTTGTTGTTGGTGTGGACTACGAGAATGATATGAACGCGCGTGGTTCCGATCCGGTGCACAGGAGATTTTGACTTTTACAAGCGAGAGCATTTTGCGAGCGCGTTGCTGACATGCCCAGAGTACCGTATATGACACAAGATAACACACCGCCTTGGCCGATTTTCAAAGCTCGATTTCTCAACAGCAGGAAGAGTCACAGCGCCGAAAACGGCGGCGTTGGAACCGTCTCGCCGAGAGCTGCTCGAAAACGTATTGTTTCATTTATGCATCCTCTTCGTCGTGGAGTAATCGAGCTTTGAAAATCGGTCCAGGGGGTGCGTTATCTTGTGTCATATACGGTAGACGGAGACCTCGGGGAATTCTGTGGCGATGACGGCAAGCCGGGAGCTCATCTAACCACCCGCTCGTTGCTAAACGTTGGCTCACGGAGCAGGATGTTCGCACGGGGGTAGTGTGTGAAAAACTTGGAGCGAAGCGATATTTTTTAGTCGATGGGAAACGGTGAGCTGCGACGTGATGTTTTAAACCATCGCGCCCCGGTGTGAGATTTCTCGCATACTTTCGGCATCCGCAGAATAAATCCCGATCCTGCTGCATGACGGGTCTTGTTTTGAATGAGCTCATGGAATATGCTGCAGCATCAAAACCTCCCCATGTCGGCACTAAATCAGGGCGGCGAGGACGGAAGATATGCACTCGCCAGCACCCTTTCGGGTGTATTCTACGACCAATCTACGGCACGAATCGCATCCAGCACCCCTTCCGCGTTTCATTTCAAGGACAGCGGTAGGTATCACAGCGAAATACAGCACCTTAAACTTGCTGATCGATTTTTTCAATGAGGAACAGAGGCAGTTCATTGATTGCAAGCTCACAGCAGCGGCAGGGGATGCGGCAACACACATAAGGCACCCCGTTTTGCATTCGTGACACCGTCAAACCTATCCAGCAACACACCTACTATCAAACATGTTTCGTGCTTACGACGGATCCCTGCTGTTAAACAAAATTGACGCTTCCGCGCGTGTCACCCTCCACTCATGCTTTCAGAACGCCTTCCGCACCTCAGCATCCTAAACCTGGGGGTGCACAAATGTGCTCCAAACCAACGCGATGGAGTGCCATCGGTTCACGAAATGTACGCCAAAAACAAAATTGTCTTGATCAGCTCATCAGCATATTTACAGAGAGCGGTAGAGATACCTTCAACGCAGCATAGTAATAGTAACCCGAGAAATACCACACTATAGTATATAAACCAACAAAAAGTTGCACCGCACGAACACCTTGTCAAAAACACGCATGAACACCCTGCTCAGTCTCCTCGGCGCCACCGGAATCGGGACAAAACAAAACATCACGGGAAACTCGCGAAGGCGTATTTCCATCGGATGTATGCATAGTAACGCTAACCACCACTTCGTGCCAGTCCCGCTACCAGTGCCAGAACTGTCTTACCTCACACATTGTGGAGAGCGCTATGTTGCCGGGCCCGTCCCGCTCTCTTGTGGGGTTCTCGCAACAAGCGCCCCCCACACACCCAACGATCCATCCACACCCGCACACCCGTGGCAAAAAAACTATCGACTTGCAGGCGGGAAAGCCTGGACCGCTCCAACCGCTGCCTCCCCCAAGCCCAGCGCGGCCACGACTAGCGGGTGCACAGGAGGTTTGATGAACGCCCAGTGAACGGCGTTGGGAAGGTAGAACACCATCCGCAATTGCTGCAACGCCACTTGCCTCTTGCTCGCGGCGATCTGGGACAGCGCTTGTCGCAGCCCGGCGGTCTCAGATTCTGCATGTGGGAGAACGAGAGGAGGCAAGCAGTGGCGGCCGTCGGTATGGTAGCCTCACGCAGGCTATTCGTGCCGGGCAACACGTAGATTTAGCACTGACAACACCCTTACTTTTGAGACTGCCGGCAAGCTAACGTGGTCGGTGGTACCACCGTCGCAGGCGTTAGCCTTTCTCTGATCAAACTCACTGCTGGCGCGGCATTGAAGACACGGGAAAAACACAAAACAACTCAATTTCTTGACGCCGTTTCCATGACGACGCCGAACAAACGGTTTCCACCGCCGTCGCCGCTGCCCCCGTCTCCTTCCCTCTCTATTCCTCGCTACCCAAGCTCACTCACCCGCACAATCCCTGAGTTTTCTCCGTACGCCTTCCTCTCGCCTCCGTAGTTCTCTCCCCTTGAGCACGTTCATGTACATGTCGATGATGCAGAAGGCAAGCTGCCGCGACGAAGGACGATTTTAACAGCGCCGCCGGTCAAGAGCACCATTTTCGCGGAACGATGAAAGAACGGAGATTGAGGTGGAGAAAACTTAATTCTGGTTTAGTTGTTGCTGCTGACGGCCTTGTTGGTGCTGCATATACGTTTGTGCCGCGACACAGGAACAGCAACAACAGCACCAGGACGAGGGGGAGAAGGCTAGACCCTGCTCGATTCTTCGTCCACGCACCACCTAACGTCGTACCGAATACTACCCTACCTCTCTACGTTCCCGGGCGGGCAAGTTTACACGAGTACGACCTCACCTCCAGGAGAGAAAAAAAACGTTCGTCAAAAGCGTTGAAGCACGCATAGGACCAACGCGCCCTCGCATTTTGTCACTTGGACAGGAGGCCTTTACCATATGTTTGGGGTAATGGGATACGAGACCCAATCTGGGAAACTTTTTTTTTTGGGGTGGGGTGGGGTATGCTATTGGGGGTCCAAGTGCGGGTCCCCTCGAGAGAGAGCACGCGCATATGTTTACTGATTATGTTTGTGTGCTGGAAGGAGCACGGTGTGTTAATTCAAGGTTTACATCATCAACATCGGTCCTGGGTTAACCCAGTCCCCAGGTTAAATCCAACTACCGTGGGAAGGCGCGGAGGTACAGACACCAAGTCAACAAAGCAACCCTACGCACGGGCGCAGGCAGAACGGCAGCTGGTGCCGAAGAAAAATTGCCGAAGACCGCCGAATACCCGCGCCTGCTAGGAAGTTGCGCCTCGCCGACTCACAGAGATGCATCTTGCACAACCCTCGCAGCTTCCTCGCCGTCATTTCGCCGTCCTCCTCGTCATGTGCAGCTGCGGCGCCGACGTCGTCGTCTCGAGGAGGGGCTGGGGCAGTGCCGGGCCCTCTTCGAGACGACGACGTCGGTGGCACAGCCGCAAGCAACGAGAAGGACAACAAAAATATGGTGAGGAAGCCGCGAAGGTAGAGCACGACGTATCACCCCGAGCCGGCCAGCCGTACCTTCCCCGGCAGGCGCGGGACCCCTTTTTCCTTCGTCATGCTCGCCGCTAGTAGCTCGACACACAAGATGGTGCAAGCAACGCACACGTGCACGAGCGGGGACTTCGTAGCATTGGCAGCCTGCAGTGGATACGGAGGGCTGCGCGGTTGCCCGGCTCGCGCGTGTATGTCCGCATGATGCCGAGTCTTCGCCTTGCAATGGACAACACCACCAACAACGACAACCACGGCTACGACTAGTATTACTACTAGGCACACATGCACACGAAAATCTTCAGGAGCTCATCTTAACAGTTGCATCAGGCGTGATTAGATATAAGAGCATCTGCTCTCACCCATGCCCAATCAGATCTCGCCCACCACCACGCCTGGTCCACCGGAAAGAGCTTCGGTGCGATGCCCCCCGCCAGAGCGACTTCCTCCATCGGGTGGTAAAACACATTGGTCAAGGCTTGCAGCCTGGTAGACAGTGAGTGGAGGGGAGACAGAAAGTGTGCATCGGATTAGGGTGGTGCTGTTGGGAGGCAGTAGTGAGGTGGGGATGGGGAGGACCGGGAGTACCTTGTGCTACTGCCCTGGGCCATTAGACCACTTGAGTACTGCTGCTACGCCGAAAAGGGACGCCACCAAGAACGCGGGCGCCATTGACCCTTGTTGTCAAGGTTAAGTTGTCCCAAGACACCGTCTGCCGAAGCTCCAGCTATCTGCCAACAGCTATCTGCCAACAAAGTGATCCACGTTGTCGAATGTACCCCCACGAGGGGATCGCTGGCTTCAACAAGGAGCCGTGGTGTGCAGAGAGCCGAAGACCCATCCAGCAAGCCTTCACCAATAGGCGTGTGTGAAGCCGGCTCTGTTCGGAATAGAGAGAAAACAGTCAATCTCGTGCTGTACGAGTTGCTAGCAACGCGTCAAACACACACACCTCGAAGTTCTACAACACAGTACAGCACCAGTAGGTGCACCACAAGAGTATATACAGCAGCAGCCCATGGCCTTCGTGAAACTCGCGTGCGTGCCGACATTGCTTTCAAGGAAGAACGGTAATGCCGACCGACAAGCGCAGTAGGAGGCAAGACTCCAAGCGAACACGGCGACACTCGTGCGGCAAGAGCAGCCACACGGCGTGTACTGGAGAACCAAACCCTCTTTCTCTGCCTCTGCTGCATGAAAAACAGCCCCGCAAGGTCTAGGAAGAGTAATGCATCCTCTTCTCGGGAATGCAGCCTGCACGGTGCTTGTACGCTAGACTTGACTACGGTAGCCCCATTGGTGGTGACGCCCCTACATATCAAGCGACCCGCTCTCACCGCGCCAACGGTCGGATCCTGACATCGTCCCACCCGTCTGCGCCGGACAGGTGCTTTAGCTCCCACACGGCCTCAGCCGTTCCCTGCATCCGAAAAATCACGCGGGCTGTGGACAGGGCCCCATACAGCTGGTTAAGACCTGCCGTCGGTATGTAGAAAGTTGCAATCCGTAGGGGGCGTGCAACATCAAGTCTCCCGATAGTTATTACACACAGATTGGGGTAGTGCATTTGCTCACAGATCAGTTGAGGATTTGCGGGGGCGATATACGAGCGGTCAGCAGACCACTCTCAACGACTCAGGATTAGGTGGTCGACATCTCCACCACACGCGTTGCCACTGTTCGCTACGTACGCGGGGTTTCTATGTGCGTTACCGCCGGTGGCCCGCACAGAATCCCCCAACACGCGACGGGGATGACCGAAAAATGGGCGAGGGCTGCGTGCCTGCCACCAGCACAACGATCAGCTTTCAACCACGTGAACCGTTGGTTGGCACCGGCAGGAACCGTCGCGTGCTCTCTGGTGCTTTCCTTGCTCGGCTCACCCTCTGATCTTCGGGTGTCCTTTCCGCCATTCCGGTATCGAATAATCTGAGCGATCGTAGACAAGGAGTACCTGTCACGCCAGGAGGCCAAGGAGGGAGGAGGTGGGCAACGACAAGCCAATGAGCGACAGAAGAGGCGACTCCTCCAAGGGTCAAAAGGGATCAGCCGTACATATTCTACGCATAGAGCCCAGCGTTGGCCCGAGGACACCTTGCACACCGAAAAACATCGCGACCGTGGTGCTAGTATTTCCGCTGGGGGTTCACTGATATTCTGAGCAACGTGGAAGTCTTGCAATGTAGCAATGTTCACACATCGCTTGCGGCGTCGTTCGCAGCGTCTGTACACTGAAAATTACGGGAATAAGATTGCGTACAATAGTCTGTGTAGTGTTTGATGCCGTCGCTCGCAGGTACATGTGCTGCTGTATGGCTGGCAGGTACTGCTGTATACCCTCATGTTCGGCGTTCCTCCCTGTGAGTCCCCGGCTGACGCGTCCAAACAATACACCGAAAGGAGGAAAAGCTTTTGTCCGAATACATGGGACACAGAGAAGCACACATTTCCCGTTTGCTCTTGGATGTGGCTCAAGCTCTCTCGCTGTGGGCATCACCGGGATCACGCCGAAAATGGTGGGCAAGAAATGAGTTCCTCCGCCCATGCTTTGTGCGAGTTGCGAGGTGGTGAATGGTGCATACATGCTTAGCCTCCTTGGATAAGCAAATCTGGAGTGGGATCATTGGTGAGTGGTGGCGTTCATGAACAAACAGGGGTCTGCCCACCTCGAACATGTGGCATCATCTGCAGGTCTGCCCACCTCGAACATGTGGCATCATCTGCAGCCAAGCACAATTACGTACATAAACCTCGACGATCTCGGGCGTTGGTTTGATAGCACAGCTGTTGTCGACTTCCCAGAAGGCAAAAATACAACGACTCCTTCAACTTACCCCAGCAGCTTGATGCACTTGTCATTGCGGTAGGTGCCAGCGACGAAGGTGACAAACCTATCGAGGAAGTCTTTCGCTCCCTCGCTCTGGGATGATGACATCAGGAGATCGGCTGGCTCTCTTCTTGACGCCGCTCTTAGGCAGAGAATTTGCGTGTGTCCTCAAAAACAAAGCTCTTCGTCTGTCGGGATATATTCCTGCCGGCAACAAGGCCAACAATAGATATTTCCTGGACGAGATGGATTCTTTCTTGACGGTGCGAAGCCGGTGGTGGTTGCAAACCTGGCGGTGTGATCACGCGATCGCGCAGCGTTGCGTTTGACATGAACTGGGGGGCAAAAAGCGGGACCGCAAAAAGCGGTCACCAAAGGGGACACGCACATTGAAACTATATGCGTCCATATACCCATCCGCGCGCCCCCCGGTAACACGCCGCGTGCCGCAGCGCCGCAGCCCTACCCACAACCCCAGCCACTGAGAGCAGCGGTGAGCTCCACAAGCTGCGAAGCTGGGCGATATCTGTCGTGAACTTCCCACAGCCCTCGTTGCACCAGATGCCGCACACGAATCGCGCGAGGCGCGCCGACCATTACCGCTCTATCGATGGCGCCGGCAGCAGCGGCAACAACAGCAGCTCAGCAACGACCAGTTTCAACAGAAACCATGGCGGCGGCAGGAAGCGCTCGCACCAAGAGCAAGATGGTGGTGCCCTCGACTACAACCACGACACCAATGTCAAAGCCTCCGAGCGCTACGGTGGGCGTAGCCCTGGTGCCGGCGGCGGCGGCGGCGGCGGCTGGGGAGCTGGTCGCGGTAGGGGCGGAGCGAGGTCGGGAGGTGGCGGCACAGGTAGGGGTGGTGGCGGTGGACGCGGAGGAGCCGCGGAGGAAGCCGGCGGCGGCAGCGGTGGAATAGCCGGTAGCTCAACAGCAGCAGGACGAGGAAAAGGAAAGGGCAAGAACCCTTCCGCGAAGAACCGCATCCGGAGTCTAACGCGGCTGATGAACAAACCGGTGAGAGATTGACGCATTCTCCGGATTTGGATGTGTCGTCGTGCTGTGGTTGTACCAGCGAGAGGCAGCAGCTGCGGGACACCACGGGCACAGCTGTTGGCCCAGTCGTTGGTTGGCTTGTGTCAGCGACGTGCCTTCCGGGTACCATGTACCGATCACGCGCGTATCGTATGTACAGTTCCTAAGATACCCGAACGCTGAGCTTGAAAATTTCTGTGCCAATGAATGGCACTGCATTCCCGCCTGGCAAGTCGCATGATTGTTGGAAGGCTCCAATCCTCGTGCCGCAACTTGCCAACTCCTGAGGTGCTTTCGCGGGGTAAAGTTGAAACCAAGAGAATTAGAGAGCGCTCCAAGATCGTGCAGACGTGTGATGGGATCTGCAATACCACCTGGCTCCTTTGCGAACGTTTCCCAGCACCACACCTTCACTCAAATTCCATCTTCGTCTCCGGCCTTTGCTCAATTCGAACACACGATCTGTGCGTCCGGTGCGTGTCTCTATACGTTGGGGCGTGTGCTCAGGGCATCGAAGAGGAACAGCGGTTACACTTGCAGCGGCAGGTTGAAGAGCTAGAGGGAAAGGTGTCGGAGCGTGAAAAGCAGGAGCGAGAACGAACTCTTGCCATCAAGTGAGTCCTTTGCTGTTGTCGTGAAACATGTCACTGCATGTTGGTATGCCTGTGGAGGGCAGGTGGGAAAGAGGAATACGCCGTGGAGACTCGCCCGCTCTATTACGCTTTGCTTAGCAATGGCACCCATACCCGGAGGTTCACTGGTTGGGAACAGGTTGATGGTAACGTAGATTTCGTTGCAGTCATGCTGTCGGATCTGTTTGTTTGTCTGGTGTGTGTGCCGAAGGGTACTCGACACCGCCAAGTACGGCAACATGTCGACTTTGAAAGGCTACCCCGCCATCGAGGCGCAGCATCCACGCCGCTGTATCCGGTTGCGCTCAACCATTGTATCGGCTCACGGCCTGGATCTTAACGCTTGCAGAAGTATGGACCAAGATTCGGTTGAAGTGGCCATCGTAGGGCTAAGCCTGCTTGCTCGGCACTACCCTGTCCCCCGTCCCTGCCCTACTGCGGCGTTCAGGTACCACAAGGCAAAGTTTTTCGACCGCAGGAAAGCTCTCCGCCGACTGGCCCAAATTCACCGCAAGTTGAAGGGGGTGAGTTACCAGCAGGGGTGGGTGGGTATTTGTGGTCCCTCCTCCCCCGAGATTTCTATGTACCGCGCAGCAGTTGCAGATTACGGAGCTCGTGACTCAAGCGATAACGTTGATGTTTGCAGCTTTGTATTTCACGTCATGGGTTTGCTCCAACGAATTCGGCGTTGTCCCAACCACCCGAACAACATTTCTTCAGTCCTAGGCTGGTCACGAAGTACAGTTCCAATGTGGAAGAGGTTTCGTGTCGGAAGCATCATTAATGGTGTGGTTGGTGACGATGAGCATGCGCGTTCTCCCCGTTGTCAGGGAACAAGAAACCCTGTTTGTTGAAAGTCCTCACCAGCTCACCCATGTCTGTGCTTTACAGGGGGAGGGTGGTCTCGTCCTAAAAATGATGGAAGAATCAACAGAACCCGCTTGTGTCCCGCCACCCCGTGTCCTTGTTGCCCTTCCTCCAACGGCGCGATGTGATGCAGGACATCGAAGAGGCCGCGCGGGCGGAGCTGGAGCGAAAACGAGATACCGAGGAAGCAGACCTCAAGGTACCGCCTACACGTGATCATGGGCTGCCAACGGAGTTGTAGCTACTATTGCCAAGATTTATGTAGGTGTTGCCGGCGGCGGTCCGCTTGTGCTCAGGTATTGGGAGGAACATTGCCGGTGGCGCGCCGTCACTCAACGTACCTATGCTCCTGGCAGAAGTTCCACCTGTTTTGAAGCAGAGAAAAACACGAATTGGCCACGCGCTCCCGCTCGTGAAGCCTAAGCGCTGAATCCTTATTTTTCATTTATTCCCGGAACTTACGTTTGCCCGCTTTTTCCCAACCGGCCACCCCCGACACCCACCACAACAGTACGTGCTCTACTTCCCCAAGGACAAGAAATACCTCCCGCTGGGAAAGGGGAAAGAGGGCCCCCCACGTGCCCAGCGGTCCCATGTGCGCTTCCTGAAGGAGGCGTTGGTGCGAGGGGAGGCAGCCGGATGGACGGAGTTCCAGGAGAACCTCGACAAGTTTGTCACCGGCGGCGGGGAGGGCGGCCGGCCTAAGGTAGCCGTGGACGCCGCCGCTGCCGCGGAGGAGGGCGATGTCAAACGGAACAAGGGAATCGGGGCTCTTCCTGTGGTGGCGCAGCAAAAGCTGTGGGATGACGGGGAGGACAACAGCAGCGCGGAAGGGGAGGGCACGGGAAAAAGTGACGCGGAAGAAAGCGAATCAGATTCCGGGGATGGTGTGGCCGGCCAACAAGGAGCGGGAAAGGACGCTGCTCCAGCGGCCCGCGGAAAGAAGGTCAAGAGGCAGCCAACGGAGTCTGGATCGGGGAGTTGGGAGCCGGAGCAAGGAGAAGCAGCAGGGGATAGCTCCGATTCGGCGGGGGAACTCAGCGGCGACGAGGGTTTCGGGGCCGCCGCCAGCGACGAAGACGACGCTTATAGCTTCGCCGAGGCGAGGATGAGGTGGGCTAGCGGCGGCGGTGGGAGCACAAGCGGGCGCAGTGACGGTAGTGACACCGACGGCCACGACAGCGACGGAAGCGTCGGGGACATTTACGCCGATGCTCTCGCGAGATCTAACGGCGGCGGAGGCGCTTCAAAGGCGGTTCAGAGCGACCGGCGGCGGGGTGGCAGTGACAACGACGGAGACAGCAGCAGTGACAGCGATGAGGACGGCAGCAGCGACAGCGGCGACACGGCAGAAGAGAAGCCAGCGTTAGCAGGGAAGAGGAAGAGTCAGCCGACGGCAGCGCCCCCTTCGGTCCCGGAGGGCAGCGAACATGAGGATAGCGGGGATGACATTGACCTCAAGGACGACTTCTTCATGGAAGAGAAGGGAAGCGGGGACGAAGAGCAAGCCCACCAAACGGGGGAGTACACTACCGGTAAAAACGCACGCGCCAGACGTGACGCGCGAAGACGCGCCAGCGGGGAAAACCGTGGTGGCGGCCGGAGGGGGCGCGGTGGACGGGGTGACCAGCAGGGTGGATGGGGGGGTCAACGGGGGCGAGGGCGGTCTGCTTTTGGTGGACGGGGCACGGGACGAGGATTCACCGCGAGCAACAAAAGATCCAAGGGTGAAGCGAACGCAACAGGCACCGGGCGGGCATGGATACCGCACGGGCGTGGCGGCGGGGGAAGGCGGGGAGGGTTTGCAGGCACCGGAGGGACCGCATCTGGCCGCGGAGGCCGAGGGAGAGGGAGAGGAGCAGTAGGCGGTGACGGCGGCGCTGCTCGTCCAAACAAGAAGATCCGCTTCGACGACGACTAGCCAAGACGATTAAGTCGAGCTTCTGGGCGTGTATCAATCTCGGTATCGGCGTTCGTAGCGGCGTTGTTGTTGGTTGAGCTGACGAACATGATGGGTCCGAGTGCAAGGGGCGGGGTTTACGCTCCAAATGCGGCAAGCCGACAAGAAGAGCATGTTTGATCGGAAAGCATCAGTGTCGTTGCTGATTTTCCCAGCACCTGGGGGGAATTCAGGGTGATGCCCGTCTGGTCAGGTGTTTCAGCACGACAAGCCTTCGAGGTTTAAGTGGTCAAATACGCTGGAAAACGCTGCTATGCTGCTGTGTTCTTTACTTATACCCCATTTGTTGGGTTTTTGAAGAGAATGAACTTCCAACAAGAGCATAATACAAACTTGTTGGGTTTCCGTACACCCCTAACCTCACCTTCAAAGACTGTGGCAAGAGCGCAAGAGCCGTTTCTGAGGCTGCGCACACCTCAAACACAAGGAAAACACGAAAACACACACCGACACGCAACGCCGAAAAAGGCAGGTCAGCCAAGAGAGAGGACTGTAAACTATGACTCGAAAGTATTTATCCCCACGCAAAACGTTACAAAAACCGAGGCCTTGACCGGCTAAACCAAAACCAACAATATCACTACATTACGACCGACCGCCACAACGAATAACTCGGCTTTTGTCGCACTCCGCTTAGGCCACCAACTCCTTCCCCGCGAGATGCGATCAGACCTTCATCAATACATACCAACCAACCAGACGCGGCATGGGAAGCATCTACCGCATCAAAATGAGTTTCTTGTCTACAGAGCCACAGAGGACCAATGACGCAGCCTTTCATTGCTCGTCCGTCATACCACGTGAACTTCCAACTCAATTACACCTCTCTTTTTCTTTGTTGTTGTCGCCGCCGTCATCAGATAGCGGGCCAAAATATCGCTAAAGACGTCAACGACAACCGTTCAACCCTGGAACACGCCATGAAAGACAGCACTAGCATCAAACCCATACGGACGTTGTACAGCCTGAAAAGGTGAGCTCCCTAATCCCGCAATGTTCACACACAAAGTTGTAAGAATTTGGCCGCACAATCCAAGAAAAAAGTAAACACAAACCTGCTACATGCTGATTACCCTTCCTACGCCGTCCAACGTCTGCTGTTGTTGAGCGGTTCGGTCTCCCCGAAGGATTGCCAGATCGATACATAACTCGACGCTCGAAAGAACAGCTAATTTGACAAGCGGAGGATCGCAGAGACATGAGCGCATCGGCCACAAGAAAATAAAAGAAACGAAACGTAGGTATCAACACGAGACGGCCCACAAGAACACACGACAGCAGAAAGAAACACCGACAGGAAACATCCAAAGACCGAACACAACCCGAATGTCACGTGATAGATACTACGGCACCCGGGCCGGCCAAAAAGTACGCAGCCACCTGCTTCATTCACCTGGTGCATCTATGGTCGGAGATAATTCTGTCTAGACAAGTGAACTGCACACACCTGTTGCGTGCTTCGCGCCACGGTCCGTGGACCGAGCGACAAAACTCAAACAACACGGCGAAAAACCACAGGCTTCACACACCTACAGCCCGGAGAATAGACAGGGTTGGGGGTTGCTACTTATTTCTTGCTTTCGCGGGACCTGCCCTGTACAAACTCAGTGCACGACCCACGGGATACCTCCAAGGCCTACACCAGGCAGCAAGTTTTTTTTTAGATCACAACAAAACACGCTCTTATCCCCCCCTAAACGACGCTCCATCTCTCGCCTCTCGGTACCCACCTACCGCCACGAGCTTACAAAATGCCTCTATGTATGTAACGCACGCCACCATCCGTAAAATTGAGAAACGCATTTTTGTTGGCGTAACGGGCGCCTACGACATAAGAGTCGTTGCGGGGCTGGACCGGCAGAAGTCCATGAGTGACAGCGTCGCCGGCGCCGGGGGTGAGCCAGCGTCGCGTCCGATGCCCCCGGTCCTATCACAAGTTAACAAAAACAAAACAGCGATGTCCACAAAGGTTAAAATCGACCAAGGCGTGTGAGATCCATCGAGGAGCTAAACAAGGTCTTGGGTGTGCACGAATCGCAGCAACGGTCATCGTCATCGCCGCCACAGCAAAGCTCATCACTTGGCTCCATCACTCGGAAACCCCGTTGAACATGAACACCAAACCCTCATAGTGAAACGGAACAAAACTTTTGTTAGCAACCAGAGCCACGCACCTCTTCGGGCCATCGGAAGATCGCACCGCGAGCAGCGCCGAGGCCGCCGCGGCCGCAGCCTCCGTATCGTTGGTGGCCGCGGTGGCGGCTGTAGTGGCGGCCGCGCCGGCGGCAGCACTCGCGCCAGAGGCGCCGGTCGCCGCGGCGTTGGTGCCGCCACTAGACTTGCCGCCGTTGTTGTTCTCGGCGGGGCTCCTGTCGTACAGGATGGCACGGCGCTTGACGACTGGGGTCACAGCCGCTCCGCCGCCCGCCCGGGCATCTCGCACTTGGTAGCCACCGCTGACACCGCCGGAGCCATCTTCCGGACTTGAGCCGGAGGCGAAGAAGCCGTCCACGTCGCCACCGCTGCTGCGGGAGTTGGGGGTGGCGGCCAGCTGGTCCAGCTTGCGCTTCGGCAGGAAGGATTGGTCGTTGTCGCTCATACCTGCGCAACGGAGGAGAGGGGCGGAGTCAATCAGTTGTTGCGCACACCTCTTCCCAAGAAAATGCACAGCCAAACACGCAAGGGGACAAAGAAAAGAGACCAACACGAACGGACACAGGAAACACCACACGCGTAGCCATCCCAGAGGTGACACGGTCTGACACAGCAGGGGAAGAAGGCTGCTTATGGATGTACGTCTCACACGGCACCACGGCTCATGCAACGGCTCATCATACGCCACTGCAGGTGTGCTGTTGTATATGCGAAAAGAAGCTACAAGAGATGCGCTACCTCAGCAGGCGTGTATCCCTTCTGTGCGAGGCCGTGTCACCTCCCGTGCGGCCGCGTGTGTCGTAACGGCACGGCACTTGTGTCCTCCAAAACTTCCACCGTACAGTGCAACAGGCAATGATCGCCACAAACACAGACGCTGCAACAGAGGAGAGCCAAACCACAACCAAAAACGAACAGAACAGTCCGAACGACCCAATAGTGATAAACAATACTCACAACCGTCGCTCTCGCAGCCAGCCATCATGTGGTATGACGGTGAATCCTGGGCGGGGCTGCCACCGATGTTAGACCCACCCCGTCCGAACATGCGGTTCGTGGTTGACTGGCTCGAGCGGGTCCGAGGCGAACCTGGAGACGATCAACGCCAAAAACGAAAGGCAGCTTAGGGTTAGTGGGACACAAACCCGATTACTACCAGTCGCACTGCGTGTATGGTTGAAGCTGGCGTCGGGTCTCACGCGCTCAAGGTACAATCAAGACGCAGACCCAATTTCGTCGCGCCGCTTCGATAGATACTTATCTCTTTCACGCCATGCCACCGCAACACGTACGATCTGCAAGCAGCTAACTCACCCTTACCCCTGCCGGCCTGAACGCCTCCAGACCGCCCGCGACTGGCCTCCGCCGACGAAGGAGCACGGTGACCACCTGCGCTGGCCTTGAACTCCCTCAGGTCGCGCGCGGCGGAGCTGATGTCCATGAACTCGTCTCGAGTGTCGTCCGCATCGTTGCCCCCGCCATTGCCCCCTCTTCTCCCTCCGCCGGGAGTGCGCAACGTCGCGTCTTCGACATGGTACGGCGAGATGTCGGCCGCGGTAATAGCCGACAGAGCGGGGGACGCTCCGTTGTGCCTCCCGCCCCAGAGGGGGGACATGTCGGGTGTGTCGGCCGCGGGACCCCCGCCGCTGCCACTGCCGCCACCGCTAGCCGAGCCCCCGTGGAACCGGCCCATGCCGCCGGGCTGTCGACGTTTGTTCTTCGGAGTGTCCCATGCGGGCAACGTGACGTCTGTTGCCGCGGCGGCGGTGATCAACGCCGCAGGAGAGTGCGTATCTGATGGGAGAACAAAAAAAAAAATTGGGCCGTCGGTGAGCTACTTCCGGAGGTGACAAATGTCTGGGGCGGAATCCAATCACGGAGACTGAACGTGGACGAGCTTGCCAGCGGTTCCAAAAAAATATGTAAGCGGAGCACGACTGCAACCACCGTATCCGTATCACTCCTCTCAAGTTGGAGCAGGAACGTTTTGGAACACGCACCGCAGAATCCCATAACAGAAACATCACACTATAATACGTGTAGCTAAATTTTACTACAAGAGAGGATACCCCGAACAACATCTTAGCTTACCGTTCAAAGAGGAGTACTGAGACATGCCCGTGCCTCCAGGAGTGTTGGGGAAGAAGCTGTGGAGGCTGGGCGAGGCGCTCCCTCGGTCTTTAAAGCTCACGTCGTGGATACGCTTGCTCAAGCCAGTCATGACCCTGCAGAGGCGGGGCGCGGGTGTGGTTGGTTACGAGAGCAAGGGTCAGGCAGGCGTGTCAACACCAAACACAGCTGGCAGTGCAACCACAAGCGCAGCAACTCCAACACCGTGCCGGCTAATCACGAAACGCCAGACCTAACCAGAGGCTGAAGATAAGGCAGAAGGGAGGTTCTACAGACGAAACAACAACAGAGCATCAATGTATAGCCGGCGAGCAACCACATGACTACCTACCCCATCGGAGAAGATCCAGCGGCGCGCAATCTCTTGTCCGGCGTCAGCGGCTCCCAACCCGCCCGCGCCTGCCCATCAGCAAACGACTCCTCCGACCCAGCGCTCGAACTGCTTCGACTGGGACGCTTGGCCCCGTCGCCGGCCGCACCAGCACGCCGGCGGCCTCGCTTCGGCTGCTTCCTGGGGCCTCGTACCCCCTTCCCGCGCCCCTTCCCCGCTGACGCCTGCGCGTTGTCGCCCATTTCGTCCTCGCTGCTGTCGGCTTGCCTCGGCTGCTGACCCCGACGGCGGCTCCGACTCGCAGAGTCGGGCTCGCCGGTGGTGCCGATAGCAGGGCGCCCGCGGCCTGCACCGCCCGCACGGCTTGCCGACGGAGGTGCGGCAGCGCTCGCTGCTGGCGCCACCGCGGCGGCGGCGGTGGCGGCGGCAGCAGCCTGTGCTCGGGCAAAGCTCGCTGCGGCAGACGAGGAAGGCGAAGCACTGGCGGCGGCGGTGGCGGTGGCGGTGGCCGCCGCTTGCGGTTTGGAAGCGTTGGCCGGCTGCCGGGATTTGGAGGTGGTAGGCTGTACCACCCCGTCGACTTCGATGCGCTTGCGCGGAGGGCGTCCTGGCCAAGGGTGTGGGGAAAAGAGAGGTTCGGTGAGTCAGGGTGGTCGCGAAGGGAATAAAAGGAAGGGTCCTGACGCAAGGAAAATGGATCACCGATTCGAGGCCGTGGACATGTCCCGCCTTCTTGACCTGCACGAACGCGAGCGGGTTAGGCTAGTGAAAGAAGAACGACGAAAAACACAGTGCACCAAGACCAGCAGACCACAGGACAGCACTTCATGATAGCATACAAAAAAGAGCAACGATCACCATCGAAAAACACGACCTCCAGGTCGATAGCTCTATTCGGGGACAGGCGGATGGGACGGGGGGCGGGGGGGCTTTACCTCGGCGTGTTGCAGGCTCGTTCGGGTTGCTCACGGTAATCCTGCCCCTCACAGCGGCCAAGGCGATATCGATCACGTTCTTGAACCCGTGTCCCTCAAACTCTGGGCTGTTCGGGGTGAGATCCGTGCGGGCGAACACGATTTCCGCCTTCCGCTTCATGGAGGAGTTCCAGTGATTCTTGATGGCGTTGTCCGTTCGCCCGGGCATCACCTTCGCGATCTCTGCCCACTTGTTGCCGAGCTTCTGGTGCTGGATCAGGATTGTGTGGTCCTGCAAATAGAACGGTTCCGGATTCTCGGTTTGTCATGGTCGAAAATGCGAAGGACTTGCACCAACGCGTCATCAACGAACGTTAAGAGCGAGGGAAAGAGAAAACCGCAAAAATATCTACGGAACACATCGACCACAACCACCGCGGTCCAGACGACAAAACCCCTAACACTCCGGTGCACGTCACAGAAGAAAATAGCAACGATGAACGGTACCAGCGCCACCCCAAGCAACCAAACCCGCTCGCACACCTCGTGCTCGCTCCAGGGAACTTTGCTAATGTGCGGGTTCAGGTGGTTGTGCCAGCGCTCGCGGCACTGCTTGCCGGTGCGGCCGGGGAGCTGAGCGGCGATGCAGCTCCACTTCTTTGCGCCGATCTGACCCACGAGCTCCGCCACACGCGCATCGTCTTCGGGGGACCAGGGCCCCTTGGTGCCGCCGTTGAAGACCTTGGTCCAGCGGTGGAAGCACTGCATGTCCGTCTTTCCGGGGATACTATCGGCCACCTGTAGTGTAGGGATTTCGCAAGGATTTCACAAGAGAGATAGGTGTCCACGAATGAGCAACCAAACGAGAGCAACGAAGTTGTTTTGCTGTTGTGGTTGTCTTCACAGTAGGAAAAAAACATAGCGGTTTCCGCTCCATAGATTCGGACGTTTTTACTCAACCGAAGCGGAACAAAAACAATGGCCGGTACTGTTGTAGTTAAGGACACGTTTTCCGTATAGTAAAGAATTGGTTCACAACTGCTGTTTGAGAGAAAAGGTGGCCTTTAATCGTTCGCCGCGGGGGGGGGGGGGGGGGG